CCAAATAAGGAAACCAAATAAGGAAAGAAGTATCACCTAATCCAATAAACTTTAAAACAAACTCACAGGAAATGGCAGGGCAGACCAGACCCCCTTCGCTACCCCACAGAAACCACTGGGCGAGATTCTGCAAGTGCTCACCAATAGCCTCAAATCTAGAAGGAGGAAAACTGAGTGGGTATCATTCTGTTTTAACTGAAGAGTAGGAGAAAGAGTTGCTAGGAAAGATCGGGTAAAGAAGGAGGAAATTGATCAGGTGGCTGACTTTCTCTCTGACCAGAAGTCAGAGCTTCTATTTAATTTGGGACACGCTTTGAACACTGGGCTAGGACGCCTAAAATCTCAGAGGAGAGGAGAGTCTAGTGTGGTTTGTTCTGAAAGACCTGAGCCCCAGCCTCTCCTCGGACTTCAGGAAAGTGAACAGAACATAAAATGCCAGCCCTGGCACTGATGCCAGTAGTATGGAGAGAGAAACTTGTCTTAGATACAGTGGGAAAAAGAACTATGAAACCAGCACACACCTTGCAAATAAAATGTCTGGAGAACAGTGTCAAACTGCAAACAAGATAAAAGACGTGTAGCTGATGCAAGTATTCCGTGGTGAAAAAACAAAAGAGGAAGAAAGAGTCGCCTGGAAAAGCTGACAAGGACCAATCATCGAGGAAGAGTGACTTGAAAGAGCAGAAGGAGATTCCTTCCAACTCTTTTGTTTTATAGATTAACTCAGTGAGAATTTGGATTCAGAAAAACAGGGTCAAAGACAAGAAAATAATAACAGAACGAGATGAAGTTGGAGATTACACACCTAAAGAAATACAGATAAATTTTGTGTACCAAAAACTAGAATAAAAATAGTTTGTTTTTTGTACAGCTTAACAGACAAACATGATTCCAATGAATACAGATAAAAAGGTTAAAATAGAGAAAAGCAAAAAAAAAAAAAAAAAAAGAATGCAGAAGATCCAGTATAAAGATAAATACTATCACCGAAGAAAAGAACCTAACAAACAACAAAAGGACTGAAATAGTATAAGATGTTTTAGGAAAATTTTGATATTTAGCAGTAAGACCTGTTTTGAGCAAATAATTGAACTTTTAAAATAAAGGACAAATTACTATGTGCAAAGCCTCAGGTAGTTCTGTGCCTAATGCTGGCAGGGGTCCTGCCCAGTCTCTACAAAGCCCTTGTTGTGGTCTTTGGACAGCCAGACACTGTGACTGAACCCCAGGCCACTGTGGGTGGTGCAGCATGTGCCCCGTGGCATGGTGGTCATTGCTTTGCCAGGCAACCTGGAAGAGTTTGCGAGAGGCGTGGCAGGAGCTCTGTGGAACACACCAGTTTCTGAATTCCTGAAGTTTGTTTATCTGCTTGTCCAGGTCTTAGAACTAGTTGTTCAGTATTCCGTTATTATGGACTCAGCTCCAGAAGAAGGAGCATTTATTTGGTCCCTGAAATGTCTCATGTTTTATTGCATCAATAATGCACTTGTCTTGCATTTGCTTCTCTGTGTTTTGAAAAGAAGGAGAGCCTGTTATGTAAGTATCATTTGGCAGTTTATTTTAGCTGAGTCATTGGGTCCTGCCAGCCCCTTAGTACCTCCAGTAAACTCTTGGGCTGAAGTGTCCTTGACTTAAGAAAAAGCAAAATGCATTAAAATGCAGGCGGAACACCTTCTATGTCCCCTGAGAGAATTATGGATTGAATCATCTGGAGACTTGATTCTGTGGTCCTTCTGTCTCTTTGACCTCTTTCACGTTGACAGAAACAGGCCTCTGGCTTGAATATTAGGTATAAATGTGTTTTCAGAAGCCACAGTAGTCCTTCTCAGAAAACACCTTCCATAGTCAGAACTGGACAAAACTGTTGCAGTGATATGCAGTCAGTGCTGTAAAACCATTTTCTTGGGTAGTTTTAACTTATTTTAAACCTAAAGTAAAGTATAATACTGTGTTTTTAAAAGTAGTGAGAAAAAATAGAGAGAGAGAGGGAAGGAGGGGGAAGGAGGGCCAGGGAGAGACAGAGAAAATGACTGAAACTTCTCCAGGTTTCTAAGAAGAAAAGCGAACCACGTAAGAGGGGGCTGCGGATCATACTTGTCTCAGGCTTCTCCATAGCAGCATTTAATACCAGCACTCACGGGAGCAGTGTCTGCAAATTTCTGAAGGAAAGAAAAGATGGCCCAAGAATATTAAGAGCAGCCAAAGTGTCATTCAATTGTAGGGCTAGCAAGCAGATACTCTTTTTAAACCCTAAAGAATTTAAAGAAGGGGACGCTACATTTTGCTGTGTATAATGTGTGCCCATGTTTTTGGCCCAGACTTTCAGGGAAAAAAGTCTTTCACTTTAATTTTTTGATCCAATTATTTATTGATTGATATTTAGATACATGGGGGGGTTGTATTATAAAGGAATTTTAGCATTTATTTTTGGACACATTATGGTACAAGAAATTTTATGTAACAAATAATTACAAACCACTACAAGGTATTTCAAGGACTGCCCATGTATAATGACCATCTGTATTTTTCCCTCAAAAATTTGGGCAAAAAAGTATGCGTTATACATTGCAAAAGATGGTACATATGAACTCAACTAGAAAAGGGCTACTTGACAGTGAAATCCAGCCAATTAAGAGTTAGAGACTCGAGAAAGAAGTTGCTGTTAAGAAAACTGTAAAGAGATTGATTCAGCTACAGTGTAGACCTGGTACTACACTACGGAATTACAGTTATAGGATGGAATACGAATGTTGTGAGCCTGGACAGTAAAAATTATATGGCAGAGATTGGGAGAAGAAATGGGAGGAGGTGTAAGTGCTAAAGTTGTCAACTTTCAAAGCAGGGATTGTTTGGATTCTGCCCAAAATAAAATTGTATATAACTTAAAATTAAAGTGAATTGAACCTGTCAGCTTTTCGTATATTTAAAAAATGTAGCATATTCAAACAATATATAAAATCATAGGTGCTGTGGTGTTAAGTACTCCTCATATTTAAGAAATGCCATTTATTTATTGATTTAACGGTATTTTTCTCCCATCACCATTTATCCCCCATACACTGTCCACCTCCACCGACCCTCCAAAGTCACCATTTTGTTAAATTGGTTTCAGATTATGTACATAATACTTCAGACAAAAGGAACAGTTGAGTGAAAAATAATGAATATGAATGTATTTACCACAGGTTAAGAAGTAGCACATTGTTGATATAGTTATTAGACCCCAGCATGCCCCCCAGAATCCCAGAGATAATTAGTGTTCTGATTTTGTGGTGTCGGTTATTCACATACATAGTTTTACACTTTAAGTGTATGTGACTATAAAGTAGAATTAATGAAGTTTCTTAGTCTTTACAGAAACAGTACTCTGTAGTTCACTTTTTAACTTTACATTGTTTTGAGAGTTATGTTGATAATATGTTACTTGAGTATGTTTACTTTTCACTATGTATAATTATTCTATTATATAGATATCTTATAATTTATTGATCCATTTTATATTGATGGACATTTGTTTTCCTTTTTGATACTAAGTTGTGATAAAACTTTCTTGCATCTTCTTGTTTACGTATATTAATGGTTTGTATACTTAAAAAATCTTCCGTTATTCAGGGAAACTTATAAGGTAAGTAAACATTTAAGGTGTGACAATAGCATTGGTTTCCCTTTGATTTTTTAAATTACATTATACAAAAGTTAAAACTGACGCTATTTATTAAACTTCCCCTCTGTAGTGTGATCCCCTGCGCTGTCACTCTGTTCTTCTGTTCGCATAAATGGGTAGGAAAATGCGTGGGGTCGTGTTTACTTAATGATAGTCATTTTTAGGTGATAAAATGTGAGATCATTTTTAAGATTTTAGCTCTTTATATTTTGCATTGGTTATATCCTTTATAATGAATATTCTGATTTTAATAAAAATAATAGAGTACATCCTTTTTATTTTTAAACTTTATTTATTATTTATTTTTATAGACAGGAAAAGGGAAGGAGAAAGGGAGAGAAACATCAATGTGAGAGAGAAACACTGACTGCTTGCCTTCCACTCAAGGCCCAGCCAGGGACTGAACCCGCAACCCAGGCATTGCCCTGACTGGGAGTCAAACCAGCAACTTTTTTGTGGGACGACACCCAGCCAACTTGAGCCACACCAGCCAGGGTGAAAATAGTAGAGTGATATTTTCCTCAAAGACAAACTAAAAGTGGATATTCTAAGAAAGTGAATGGGAATAAGTGGCAAAAGCAAGAGTGTAGATGATTTTCTTTTTGGCTTTTTTTTTTTTGGTATAAAATGTATTCATAGTATAATTGAAATGCTATAATGATATTACAGCTTTCTTAAAAATATGAATTTTTTTAAAACTAATTAGATAAAGAAAAGGGAGAGACACAGCTAGGTTGCTTGGTTGGAGCATCTTCCTACACACCGAAATGGTAGCCAGTTCAATCCCTGGTCAGGGCACACACCTAGGATGCAGGTTTGATCCCCAGCTGGGTTGTGTGCAGGAGGAAACCAATCGGTGTCTGTTTGTCTCTCTCCCCTTCCTCTTTCTCAAATCAATAAGCATCTCCTTAGGTGAGAATTTTTAAAAACTAAAGGGAGAGTTAGGAATTTTCTTTTATTGTCATTCCCCTTTGAGTACCTGTCTTCAATTTTATGTGATTGAATAAAAGATGAGTTATGATAATAAAAGTTTAAGCTGCTTGCGTACAATGCAATCTTCAAGTTATTTAGAATGTGTGTAGAAGAGGTTTTCAGGAAGCATTAGAAATTGCCAATAGATGGACTTTTTTCCTGTCTCAGGGCTGTGCAGCCCAGGCCCCCTTTCTGGGTTCTCATCTGTGGGTAGGCCCAGGTGTTAGGGTCGTTTGCCCAGGCACCTCCCTGTATATGTAGCAGGTGCAGTGAGCATCTCCAAACTGGATTATGTCACAAATAAAAGAATACAAGATATTCTGGTTTGTCATTTGGGTGAAAATATGCTCTGTTTGTTTTGTAGGTATGACCTCGCTTCTAGGGAATGGCTTGCACTGAACCGTTCTGTGAACGATGTGGTGGTCAGATATGGCCATTCTGTAGCATTACACCAGGTAAAATGTCTCCGCCCTTCACTGAACTAGAAACTCAGCTCTTCCAACCTGACTTTATCACAATATTATGTGGTTGAAAAAACTGTTTGATGTTTTTTTTTCCTAATCTTTTTGGTTGTGGTCAAATGCACATCACTTGAAATTTACTATCTTAACCATTTTTAAGTATACAGTTCAGTGATATTAAATACACTCACAGTGTGCGACCATCACCACCATCCATCTCTGTAACTCTTTTCATCTTATAAAACTGCAACCCTCTGTGGCCGTTAAACATTAAATTCTCCATTGCTTCCTCCCACGTCCCCCAAAAAGCACCATTCAGCTTTCTGTTTCTGTGGTTTTGACTGCAGTGTTAGTTTTATTGGGGAAAAACTTCCTACATGTGGGGACGGGGGGTGTATAATAGGCTAAGGTATAAGTGGAAGTTAAAGTTAAAACAAATACAACAGGACAGATTCTTAATGGGTTTAAATTGTACTGGGATATTATGATTGTGGTATTAGATGGTTAAAATTAATATGGTGTAGATTAGTATTTATGTTCATTAGCAAGGTTTGCCAAGAATGAGCACATTGCAATATAACTGAATAATCATTTTCATTTCCTTGTTTTTGTGGTTTATGGTAGGATGAGGGAACTTTTCAACTTTATTTTTCTAAGTCATTTTATTACTGTAAAAGAACTTGCATGAGGAAGTCCAAGAAAAGCAGGAAATTGTTACAGATATAGAACACACTTTATTGTGTTTTATATTTTATTTTATTTTTTGCCATCTTTTTTCTAGTAATTCACGGAATGGTGTATTTTACTAACACTTTTTAAGCTAAGAATGATATTGAGGTTTTGAACTGCTCTCAGATTTAATCCTTTTGACGTTGTTAGAACTTTCCCATTTTCTCCCTAGGATAAAATTTACATGTATGGAGGAAAAATCGATTCAACAGGGAATGTGACCAATGAGTTGAGAGTGTTCCATATTCACAACGAGTCGTGGGTGCTGTTGAGCCCTAAAGCGAAGGAGCAGTACGCGGTGGTGGGGCACTCGGCGCACATTGTCACCCTCGACACCGGCCGGGTGGTCATGCTGGTCCTCTTTGGACACTGCCCCCTCTATGGCTATATCAGCAGTGTGCAGGAGTATGACTTAGGTGGGGATGCTTCTTCCAGTGAGTTTTTTGGATGTCAAATTGAAAACCTTTACACTTATTATTAGGAGTTTTTAACAGGATTCAAACTAACCTTGACCCAATACTTTACCTTGAAATGCAGTTAACACCGATGTGTTAGCATCAGATTATTGATGCTGCCGTGTGGTATGTATGTTACTGTCAGTTTGGCATGGGGCAGAGACGGCACTAAATTCTTTACATGCTGGAAATAAAGTAAGTAAATAAATGGTTCTAAAAAACAATTATTCTGAAGAGAAAATGTATTTGGTAAGCCCTCTAGAGATTGGTTTAAGGGAGTATGATTTCTTCCCCTTACTATGTAATTTCTCCTTTGGTTAAATTTTATTGTATCTTGTTCTGTAGTAGGCGTGCCAGCTATAATTTATATTCTGAGAAAATAGATGCATACAGTACATGTGTGTATTGGTCGGTAAAGGTCATGAGAATTAAGTGTTCTCTGTCTTTTCAATTTAATGTAATTCTTTTTCTACATGGCACGTTAGAATGTCAGAACTTTAAACAAATTAAAAGTCTGGCCACCTGACTTAATTAGTTTTAGGTGACCTCCCTGTAAAAATAAAACAATAGCCCTGGATGGTGTGGCTCAGTGGGTTGCATGCTGGCCTGTGAACCAAAGGGTCGCTGGTTCGATTCGCAGTCAGGGCACATGCCTGGGTTTCGGGCCAGGTCCCCAGTTGGGTGCACTTGAGAGGCAGCCACACATGGCTGTTTCTTTCCCTCTCTCCCTCCCCTTCCCTTCTCTCTAAAAAGAAAAAGTAAAATCTTAAAAAAATAAAAATAAAACAATAAAAGAAAATTATATGTATCAATTCTCCTGAAATCTCTACTCTTGTCCTAAGCTACTTGGTAATTTTAAGTATTAGAGAGGAGAAGCCTGCAACATTTGCCTTTAACTGTTTTCTGTTTTCAGTTACAAACACATGGAGCATATTAAATACTGTTGGCGCCCTTGTCCAAGGGGGCTATGGCCACAGCAGTGTCTATGACCCCAAGACCAGGGCCCTCTATGTTCATGGAGGCTACAAGGCTTTCAGTGCCAATAAATACCGGCTCGCAGATGATCTCTACCGATACGACGTGGACACCCGGATGTGGTGAGTGCTCTCGCTCTTGCACTTTCACTGTAAGGTGCGCATTCTGGCCATTGCTGAGAAAATACCGTGCTGTATTTTTGTCTTCGGACCTAGCAGATAGTTCTCTGCAGTGTTACAAAGAAATGGGGGGCAAAGCAGAGGTAGTAAAGTAGGTAGTATTTATTTTGTTGCATTATTTTTTCATTTTTTAGTGGGTTGGTTAGAAAATGCTTGCTATTTTTTTGAATTGGTTTTTAATTTTTATACATTCAGTACCACTGTAAAATTTTAGCTCTTCAGAATCCTAAGGAATAAATTACTCTGAGTATGCACTCTGTTGTAATTATGTAGAATATATCCATTTGTCCTTTTCTTAATGACCGAGGTGTCATCATTGAGGTCAGTTACTGGCATCCATGGAATCATCAAACAGAAATGGTCTTAGCACCTAAAAGATTAGAACTCTCCTTACTCTAAACTATATATTGGTCTATATAAAGTATGCTAATTTTAATAAATGTAAAGCAAATTTGAGTCATGAAATAATGTAACTATAAAGCAATAGTTTCTCTTCTTGCTTTTCCTGTTTCCCTACATACTTGAGACCGTGCTATGGATATTCACTTTACATTCTGCCTTTCATTAAAAGCATCATTTTTAGTGGTGGTGTAACACTTTGTTGTGTAAGTGTACTGAGCCTATCCAGCCAGAAATTTTGGTTTCTCGCTTTTGTGCTACTGATAAAGCATTATGCATAAGCTTCTGTTTGTATTTCACATGATTTCCACCCAGAAACTGCAATTATAAGGTCATAGTTATTTTTAAATTATATTTTATTGATTACATTATTACAGTTATCTTGATTTTTTTCCCCCTTTGCCACCTTCCACCCAGCTCCCCGCATTCCCTCTGGGCAATCCTCTCACCATCGTTCATGGGTCATGCCTATGAGTTCTTTGGCTATTCCATTTCCTGTACTGTACTCTACATCCCCATGGCTATTCCGTACCTACCTATTTGTACTTCTTAATCCCCTAACCTCTTCACCCATTCCCCCACACCCTACTCCCATCCGGCAACCATTAAAACCCTCTCTGTGCCCATGATTCTGTCTGTTCTCTGGTTTGTTTAGTTTGCTTTTTAGATTCAATTATTGATAGATATGGGGGGTTTTTTTTGCTGTTTTATTGTTCATAGTTTTGATCTTCTTTTTCTTAAATAAGTCCCTTTAACATTTCATATAATAATGGTTTGGTGATGATGAACTCCTTTACTTGTCTGGGAAGCTCTTTATCTGCCCTTCGATTCTAAAGGATATCTTTGCTGCATAGAGCAGTCTTGGCTGTAGCTCTCTGCTTTTCATGACTTGGAATATTTCTTGCCAATCCCCTCTAGCCTGCAAAGTTTCTTTTGAGTAATCAGCTGACAGTCTTACAGGAATTCCTCTGTAGGTAACTAACTTTATTTCTCTTGCTGCTTTTAAGATTCTCTCTTTATCTTTAACTTTAGCCTTTTAATTATGATGTATCTTGGGGTTAGCCTCTTTGCATCCATCTTGTTTGGGACTCTCTGTGCTTCCTGCTTGCATGTCTATTTCCTATACCAAATTAAGGAAGTTTTCTTTCATTATTTTTTCAAATAGATTTCTAATATCTTGCTCTTTCTTTTCTCCTTCTGGCACCCCTATGATGGGAATGTTGGACCTCTTGAAGTTGTTCCAGAGACTGCTTATAGAATCCTCATTTTTTAAATTTTTGGATTCTTTTTTCTTCTTGTTCTGCGTGGTTAGTTTTTGCTTCCTTACTTTCCACATCATTGATTCAATTCTCAGCTTCATCTACTTTACTATTTCCCTGTATATTGTTCTTTATTTCAATTAGTGTATTCTTTGTTTCTGACTAGATCTTTTTTTATGCTATTGAGGTCCTCACTGAGTTCACTGAACATCTTTATAACCAGTGTTTTGAACTCTGCATCTGATAGATTGCTTTGTCTCCATTTTGTTTAGCTCTTTTTCTGGAGTTCCATCTGTTCTTTCATTTGGGCCATGTTTCTTTGTCTCCTTGTTTTGGAAGCCTCCCTGTGTTTGTTTCTATGTATTAAGTAGGGCTGCTTTGACTCTGCCTTTGTAGTGTGGCCTAATGTAATTGGTGTCCTGTAGAGTCTGGTGCCACAGCATCCTCTATCACACAAGTTGGGTACTCGAGGTGTGCTTTCTGTGTGGGCTGAGTACACTTCCTCTTGTAGTTGAGCCTTGATTGTTGTTGGCAAATCAATGGGAAGGAATTACCCAGGCCAGTCAGCTGGAAGGATTGGCTGTGACCACTTAGCGCCAACTTCCGCCCTCCCTGAAGGATCAGCCGTGCAGGGGCAGGGTGGTCTGTAGCTGCCCTGGGATTTTCTGGGTGGTACAGGCCGAGGTCATCCCCTACCTCTGTTTTGTCTGGGGCCACCCTGCCTGAGGTATAAAGGAACCTGAAATGGCTGTTACTTGTGCTGGGCTTAGAGATTCCCAAGCAAAGCTATGCTGTGAATCAAGGCTGGCTACTTCTGGTGCTGGGCCTGGGGCTCACTGAATCCAGCTGTTGCATGTTTGAGAGGATTTAGGAAGTTGTGAAGCATAAGCCAAGACCAGCCATTCATATGGAAAAGCAGCTTGTGTGCCCCTGTTAAAGGTGGTGTGGAGTCTCTGGGGATCTCTGAGGCGGGTCACACAGTGTTAGCCAGGTTGATGGAGTCTGAGATATGGCACCTGCTTGCCAGCTCTGTTGGGGGAGGGTTTAGAAAAGAGACCATGGCCTCTGCTTTGCCCTGATGTCATACACTTCAGTTCCTCCCTGTATGCCACTGATGCCTTTCAAGCTGCTACCCCAGTGCTGGAGCTTAGAGGGAGTGAGTCTGCATAGGTGAGCCCATGTGTGGGTTCTTTTAAGAGGAACTGCTTGGGGTCCCAAGGAGTTTCTTCTACCGACTCAATCCTTGCTGATTTTTTTGCAGCTAGAAGTTGTGGGGACTTATTTTCTGGGCACTGGAACCCTGGACTAAGGGAGCCTCATATAGGGCTAGGACTGCTCACTCCCGAGATATCCCTCCTGAATTTTTTTATCCAGCACACGTGTGTAAGGGACTAGTCCATTCCACATCTGAGCCCCTCCTACCAGTCTGGATGGATATGGTTTCTTTAATTCCGTAGTTGTCAGACTTCCATTCGACTCAGTTTGGGATGCTTCTGAGTGATGGTTCTTCTATGTTTCAGTGTAATTTTGACATGGTTGTGCAAAGAGGCAAGTCAGCTCTGCCTACACTGTCATTTTGAGCTCATTAATTTTTAAGGCTCTTAATATATTTTGTCAAAATTCTTATAGGTCTTTAAGTTTCTACATGTTTACTTAGTATTGACAAAGTTATATACAGGGAAAAATCCAGAAATATTTGCACATTTGGATATGAAATTAAGAAAATGGTTATGTTTCTATTAGCAAATAGGTGCTAAGTATTGTAAAAAACTAACCATGTATTTATTACTTTTAATTCTCAAAAGGACCATTCTTAAGGACAGCCGGTTCTTCCGTTACTTGCACACAGCGGTGTTGGTGAGTGGGACCATGCTGGTGTTCGGAGGAAACACGCACAACGACACGTCCATGAGCTATGGTGCCAAGTGCTTTTCTTCGGATTTCATGGCTTATGACATTGGTAGGTGTAGTTAGTTGAATGTTAATTTTTAAGGATGAGTTGAGATAAGTGGGCTCTCTGAGATGTACTACAATATCTTACACAGAAGTGTCTTGTAGTTGTTTACCACCCAAATTGTATTAAGTTGGTTCCTAGAATCTGATTTCACATTCTTTAAAAAATTTCATGTGGTAACATATTTAACCAGAAGAGGGCAGAATTTGTTCATGCAAAATACTAGCCCATCTCTTATATCATTGGATGGTCATTTTTGTGCTGGCCACCAACCTTATACATTGGAGACTGTAAGTTACAGCCCTCGGTCTCATAGTGGGGGAGGCAGAGAACTGAACATACAATGTAATTGTAATTCAGAGTATTACTTGCTTTAAGATAAGTGTATGAAAGCGCCTATGAATAGTCCTTAACACATGGGGGTAAGGGTTGTAGTTAGGAGAAGGGCTGGGTCCTGAGGAACACTGGAAAGTCAGTTAGGCAGAGTCAGGCGGACTTCTCAGGTGGAGGCAAAAACAGACCATGCCACCTACTTAGAGCCTGTGAGTAGTTCTGGGTGTATGATAGCTACTTTAAGTGGAACTAGAGACCCACGCAGCTGTTAGAGTGGTCAGATCTTGAGGAGTTTGGGCCTTTTGAAGACCCTTACACAAGCAGTGATAGAATCGTACTTGTGTTTCAGGAAGAGGTCTTTGTGGTATTGTGGTGAGTAATTAGCACAGGGCAAGATGGGAGTTAGGAGGCTCTTGCTGAAGTTCTGAGGAGGGTTTGCACCAAGGCTGTGGAAGTGGCAATGACGATAAAGAGATAGATGGGTTTGAGAACTCCCGGGAACTTGAGGATTGTCTGGGGTGTATTTTGAGAGCGATTAAAGCATCTCGATTCCCAGGTAGCTAATGTGGGCCAGCGTAGACGGTACTGTGTACTAAGGTGGGACATGGAAGTACAGGGACAGGGTCTGGGAGAAGGTGAGTGCAGGCAGTTGGGGAGCATGTTCAGCTAGAGTTGCCGATGGGATGGAGCAGCACAGAGATCAGTGGGAATCTCCAGTAAGGGGTGAAATTCTGTAGGGGACATGTGTCATCAGGGAAGAGCAAAGAAGCAGAGGAGAGATGGATAAAGAAGTTGGAAAGAGAATGCAGACCATGAAAGCATGTCATAGGCGTGGGAGGAAAGTAAGGCGAGATTGGTGTCCTGCAAGGGAAATGTTAACCATGCCACAGAGGGATTAAAATAAGGCCTGGAGAGTCTTTCAGACTTAGCAACAAAGAGGTGGTTTATTACCCTGTACACATGGAGGAATAATCCAGATTGCAGAGGGCTACAAAATAATGTAAGGGAGATGTACACAGTGAATATTGACTATTTTAATTTTTAAAATGCATTTGTGAGAAGAAGAAAGTGGTGATTTGAGTACGGTCTTGGGCATATTTAAATGCTGTGGTCAAAGCCAGGTGCACTAAGAGGAGGGGGTCTTTGCCACACTGCGGTTTTAAGGAAGGAAGCAAGGTGGGTGGGCTGGAAGCCTCTGTTCTCCATGTGAGGAAGACCACAGAGCCTGGGCTGGTTGGAGAAGGAAGTGAAAGCTGTTGTCAAGGTTGAAAAAAGGTCTGGATTGAGTGGAAGAACGTTTGCCTAGTGAGTGTGAGTATCTGAGTGTCTCGGAAGCACGTAGTGAATGTGAGTTGCATGTGGTTTCCCAGCAAGAGCAGTTGATAGTATCAATCATGACAAAGGAAAAGTAGTGGATCTAAAGGATTGAGGAAAGGAGTTTTAAAAAATTAGATAACATTGATTTTTTTTTTTTTTTTTTTTTTAGTTTTAATTTTTTACCTGTATTTTCCTATTTTAGCTACTATTTGGGCAGGTCAATATAGAGGGGAAAATAATTACGGAACTTACATGTTTTACTTATATAAGCTTTGAAAAATATAAAATATGCTTAACTTAAAAAACATTGTAGTAAGTGAGACCTGGTTGATGTGGCTCAGTGGACTGAGTGCTGGCCTGTGAACTGAAAGGTCTCCAGTTTGATTCCCAGTCAGGGCATGTGCCTGGGTTGTAGACCATGTACCCAGATGGGGGCATGTGAGAGGCTGCCAATGAGTGTATCTCTCACATCATTGTTTCTCTCCCTCTCTTTCTCCCTTCTCCTCTCTCTAAAAATAAATAAATAAACTCTTTGGGGGGAAAAAACATTGTAGTGGGTGAAATTGATAGGCAACAGAGTGAGTGATGTGGGTATCATGAATGTTGGATGAATTCACTAATTAGAAGGAATTATAATTCACTAATTAGAATTGGCATATGGTCCTGCCTTTCTTACATGCCCTGCTGTTCTGCTGCAGCATTTAACTCAGAAATGATCGGGTGACTAAGAAAAAGTGAGAGGCACATTTTAGGAGGTTGTGTCTGTTGCAATCTTCTTTCAAAAAAAAAAAAAAAAGCCAGTTTCTACTGATGATGACCAGCAGTCTCATCTGAAATGTGTTTTTTTTTGCTCTTAGCTTGTGACCGCTGGTCAGTGCTTCCCAGACCTGATCTCCACCATGTCAACAGATTTGGCCACTCAGCAGTCTTACACAACAGGTAACTGGGAAAGAAAGTGCTTGCTCCTTTTCTCTTGTGTTTAAAATGAAAATGAAGTAAAATATGAAGAAGTGAGATCAGACTTACATATTATTTACAGGATTTTCTCAATCTATTTAATAGGACCTATTAATTTTTCACAGAATTACATAGGTATGAATTTCCTGACATATATTTAAAATATTTGATGTTCATTTGAGTTAATTTTAGTGCCATGTTTGTTGATGTGTTTTCTGTTTGCATGAAGGAGTATATTATACTCTATATTGCCTGAATGCATCAGACCACAAAAGTTATGTGCAGTTACTGTCTTACGCCCTCTGTCATTTGCTGTTGTTGGTGGTACTTAGGTCTGAGTGGTAAGGAGATTTGAAAAAAGAAAGAGGGCACGTCAGATTGGGGATCGGGTAGGGGAACAGAGGTGGGGAGATTGTGAAGCTTCGTATAGAAGTTTATAGTCTTTGGTAATCTGGAGTCTGCATTGCCTTGCTCAAAAATGCGTGGCCCTGCCTAACAGAGCTCTTCATCAGTCTGCCCCTGGAGACAGCTCTTTCTTGTAAGGGCACACCTGTTTCTTACAGTGTGCTTTAAAGATGTTTGATTTGTTAAACAGTCTAATCATGATACTAGTTTTTCTCATTTTTTGTTTTTGCTGTTATTACTATTTCTTCTTCACTTAAAAAAAATACAACCACAATACAATGATCACACTTTAAAAAATGAATAGTAATTTAATACCATTTAGTGTTCAGTGTTCAGATTTCCCAGTTGCCTCATAATTTTTACTCATTTTACCATTTATTATTATTTTCTAAATAATTTTTATTTTTCAATTACACTTGACATACAATAGTATATTAGTTTCAGGTACATACCTCAATGATGAGACATTTTATAACCTACTAAGTGATCATCCCAGTAAATCTTGTACCCACATGACACCATACATAGTTAATAGAATGTTACTGACTGTATTCCCTATGGTGTACTTTACATCCCTATGACTTCTTTAACAACCAATTTGTACTTCTTAATCCCTTCCCCTTTTTCACCCATCCCCCCAACACTCCTCTCATTTTGCAGCCATCAAAATGTTCTCCACACCCATGAGTCTGTTTCTGTTTTGCTTGTTTATTTATTTTGTTTTACTAGATTCAGTTGTTGGTAGATGTGTATTTATTGCCATTTTATTGTTCATATTTTTACCTTTTTTTCTTTCTTCTTAAAGAAGACCCTTTAACATTTCATATAATACTGGGTTGGTGATAATGAACTCTGTTAGCTTTTTCTTGTCTGGGAAGTTCTTTATATGAGATCTGTCTGGAAAACATCCAGCCATCATTAATATAACGAGAACAGTTTGCGCCACACTGATTTAACCTGACAGCGAAGGAGAGTGGACTGGAATGCGCATGCGTGGACAATGACAACTTTACTGTATTAGTCAGGGGGCAAAGTAGATGCTGTCGAGTGAGCATGTGTACCCTGTGTCCATTGCACTCAAAATGACTGAGTGAATAGAGCAATGAATCTGCATCATATTTTGCATTAAGCTTGAACATTCTTTCATGGAAGCTGTTTGGCTGATTCAGAAGGCCACGGCTGTGCGCATCTAGTGGTTGGCAGCTTCATTGGGACAATGTGCCCGCTTATGCATCATTGGGCAGTTTTTTTGTGAAACATCAAATCACCCAGGTGACTCAGGCCCCCTATAAGCCCAGATTTGGTGCCCTGCAACTTCTGGCTGTTTCCAAAACTAAAGTCAACTTTGAAGGGAAGGGATTTCAGACCAGTGATGAGAACCTGGAAAATCCGATGGGGCTGCTGATGGAGATTGGGAGAACTGTGTGAGGTCCCAAGGTTCCTACTTTGGAGGGGACTGAGACATCAATATCCTATGTACAATGTTTCTTATATCTTGTATCCTCGATAAAAGTCTCTATTTTCATATTACATGGCTGGATACCTTCTGGAAAGACCTTGTATGTACTGAATGACAACTTTGCCTGGTAGAATAATCTTGGTTTTAGGTCCTTGCTTTTTATCAATTTGAATATTTCTTGCCATTCTTCTGGCCTGTGAAGTTTCTGTTGAGAAATCAGCTGATAGTCTTATGGGCGCTCCCTTGTAGGTAAGTAGCTGCTTTTCTCTTGCTTCTTTTAACATTATCTCTTTGTCTTTAACTTTCTTCATTTTAATTATGATGTGTCTTGGTGTTGGTCTCTTTGGGTTCTTCTTGGTTTAGGACTCTGTGCACTTCCTGGACTTGTATATCTACTTGCTTCACCTGGTTAGAGAAGTTTTCTATCACTTTTTCAAAAAAGTTTTCACTTTCTAACTCTCTTCTCTTTCTGGAAACCCCATGATGAGAATGTTGGTACTCTTGAAGTTTCCCAGAGGCTTCTTATGTTATGTTCATTTGGAGCAGGGTAGGATCATTTATCTTTTTGCTATTCTGATTGGGTATATTTTGCTTCCTTATATTCCAAATCACTAATTTGATTCTTAGCTTCATCTTCATCTGAAGATTTCCTATAAGTTATTCTTCCTTTCAGTTAGTGTATCCTTCATTTCTGACTGGTTCTTTTTCATGTTTCCTATGCCCTTTTTCAAGTTGTGGAAGTTCTCACTAAGTTCCTTGAGTGTCCTTATAAACTATTGTTTTGAACTCTATCTGGTAGTTTGCTTGCATCCATTTTATTTAGTTCTTTTTCTGAAGATTTCTTTCATTTGGGACCCGTATCTTTGTCTCCACTTGTTGGTTGCTTCCCTATGTTTCTATGTACTAGGTAGGGCTGGTGGGTGTTCCAGACTTGGTAGAGTGCCCTGTGTAGTAGGTGTCCTGTAGGGCCTAATGGTGCAGCCTTTCCAGGTGATAGAGTAGCTCACCCATCTTTTCTTCTAGTGCATGTGTGCCTTCATTTTTTTTCAAGTGGTTCTTTGATCCATTTGGAATTTATTCTGGTATGGAGAAATGGACTCAATTTTATCTTTTCCCATGTTTATTTAATTATCTCCATACCATTTACTAGAAAGTCCATCTCTTCTACACTAATTTAAGATGCCACTTTTACTGTGCACTTTTATCTGTTTCTTATTGATTTATGCATCATTACACAGTTTTAAGTAGGGAGACTTTATCTAAGCTTTTAAAATTATACATATTTATTTTTAATATTTAAGAATATGTAGATTTAGAATTATGTGTTTAATTTAATTTTTTAACTGTATTTTATCAATTATGCTATTAGAACTGTCCCATTCTTTTCTCCCCTGCATTCCCCACACCTTAGTTTATGTCCATGGTCATACATACAAGTTTTTTAGCTTCTTCATTTCCCATACTATTCTTAACCTCCCCTTGTCTATTTTTTATCTACCCTTTATGCTTCTTATTCCCTGTGCCCTTTCCCCCATTCTCCCAACTCCCCCTCCCCACTGATAACCCTCCAGATGATCTCCATTTCTTTGATTTTCTGTTCCTGTTGTAGTTGTTTGTTTAGTTTATTTTTGTTTTTATTTTCTTTTTAGGTTCAGTTGTTGGTAGTTGTGAGTTTGTTGTTATTTTACTGTTCACATTTGTGATCATTTTATTTTTCTTGGATAAGTTCCTTTAACATTTCATATAATAAGGGCTTGGTGATGATGAACTCCTTTAACTTGACCTAATCTGGATGTAGGTCTTTGCCTTTCCTGACTTGGAACACTTCTTTCCAACCCCTTCTTGCCTGTAAGGTTTCTTTTGAGAAATCAGCTGATAGTCTTTTGGGCGTGCCTTTGGAGGTAACTGTCTCCTTATCTCTTGCTGCTTTTAAGAATCTCTCCTTATCTTTAATCTTGCATAATGTAATTGTGATGTGCCTTGGTGTATTCCTCCTTGGGTCCAACTTCTTTGCAACTCTGTGAATTTCTTGGACTTCCTAGAAGTCTATTTACTTGGCCAGATAGGAGAAGTTCTCCATTATTTTTTCAAATAAGTTTTTCATTTCTTGCTCTTTCTTTTCTCCTTCTTGCACCCCTATGATTCCAATGTTGGAACTTTTAAAGTTGTCCCAGAGGTTCCAAAACCTCTCCATGTTTTTTTAAAATATATTTTATTGATTATGCTATTACAGTTGTCCCATTTTTTCCCCTCCACCCTGCATACCCCCTCCCATTTTTACTCCCCCCCTTTAGTTCATATCCATGTGTCATACATACAGGTTCTTTGGCTTCTACTTTTCCTATACTATTCTTACTCTCCCCCTATCTTCTATTTACATCTATGCTACTTATTCTCTGTACCTTTTCCACCTCTCTTCCCCTCCCACTCTCTTGTAGATAACCCTCCATGTGCTCTTCATTTCTGTGGTTCTGTTCCTGTCCTAGTTGTTTTCTTAGTTTGTTTTTGTTTTTGTTTTAGGTGTGGTGTTAATAATTGTGAGTTTGCTGTCATTCTACTGTACATATTTTTATCTTTTTAATAGATAAATCTCTTTAACATATCATATAATAAGGACCCGGTGATGATGAACTCCTTGAATTTGACCTTATCTGAGAAGCACTGTATCTGTCCTTCCATTCTAAATGAAAGCTTTGGTGGATAGAACAATCTTGGATGTAGGTCTTTGGACTTCATGACTTGGAATACTTCTTTCCAGCCCCTTCTTGCCTGTAAGGTCTGTTTTGAGAAATCAGCTGACAGTCTCATGGAAACTCCTTTGTAGGTGACTATCCCCTTACCTCTTGCTGCTTCTGGAATTCTCTCCATTTTAATCTTGGCTAATGTAATGACGATGTGCCTTGGTGTGTTTCTCCTTGGGTCCACCTTCTTTGGGACTCTCTGAGCTTCCTGGATTTCCTGGAAGTCTATTGCCTTTGCCAGATTGGAGAAATTCTCCTTTATTTGTTCAAATAAGTTTTCCACTTGTTGCTGTTCCTCTTCCCCTTCTGGTACCCCTATAATTCAGATGTTGGAATGTTTAAAGATGTCCTGGAGGTTCCTAAGCCTCTTCTCATTTTTTGAATTCTTATTTCTTTATTCTTTTCTGATTGGATATTTCTTTCTTCCTTCTGGTCCACTCCATTGATTTGAGTCCCAGTTTCTTTCCTATCACTGTTGATTCCCTGTGCATTTTTCTTTATTTCACTTCGCATAGCCTTCATTTTTTCATCTAATTTGCAACCAAATTCAACCATTCCTGTGAGCATCTTGATTACCAGTGTTTTGAACTGTTACATAGTAAGGGTGGAGCCTTAGGTGTTCACCAGGGCAGGGTAACCCACCTTACTTACTCGGTTGTGACGCTGTATGTGAGGAAGGAGTCTGAGAGGTATCAGTGGTGCTTGCTCCGCTTTCTGCCAGATTTCATTCACTTCCCCTGCTTTCCACAAGCAAATTGGGCCCTTCTGGTGCCGATTCCGTGTGGGTGGGTTTGTGTGCATTCTAGGACCCTGTGGGTCTCTTTGACAAACTTTCCTATGAGGCTGGGAGTTCCCGCTCCCCCTTTGTTTCGCCTGGTTAATCTGTGTGTGAGTGTGCGGCCACCCAGTCCACCACTGCCTTGCTGGCCAGCCGCAGCCTTGTGCACCCCAGTCACCACTCCGCCCCTTCAGTGGGTCTGCCAGCCACTGCCTTGCTGTGAGTGCACTCCGCCTTGGCTGCCCAATTCCGTTCCTCCTACCAGTCTGGATCAATGTGTCTTCTTTAAGTCCTTGGTTGTTGGACTTCCATACAGTTTGATTTTTCTGTCAGTTCTGGTTGTTTTTTGTTTTTAAATTGTTGTCCTTATTTTGGTTGTGTGAGGAGGCACAGTGTGTCTACCTACACCTTCATCTTGACGGGAAGTTCCTTTCCTCGTTTTTAAATTCTTGTTTCTTCTTTCTGTTCCGGTTGAATGTTTATTTCTTCTTTCTGCTCCAAACTGTTGATTTGAGTCTCAGTTTCCTTCTCCTCACTCTTGGTTCCTTGTATATTTTGCTTTATTTTACTTTGTATAGCCTTCACTTTTTCCTCTATTTTGCACCCATACTTCACCATTTCTGTGAGCATCCTGATTACCAGTTTTTTGGATGGTGCACCTGGTAGGCTGGCTATGTCTTCATCACTTAATTCTGTTTTTGGAGTTTTTGGGGGTTTTTTGTTGTTTGTTTTTGGAGTTTTGATCTGTTCTTTCATTTGGGCCATATTTCTTTGCGCACAGCCGTTAATGTTGTAAGGGGTGGAGCCTTAAGTGTTCACTAGGGTGGCACAATCCAGGATGCTGCGTTGTGGTGCTATATGTGGGAGAGGGGTCAGAGAGGAAATAATGCTGCTTGCTCAGCTCCCACCAACTTTCAGTCACTTCCCTCACTACCCACAAGCAAATTGGGCCACTCCGGTGCTGATTCCCTGGGTGGGTGGGTTTGTGTACCATCTAGGACTGCCGCGCAACCCTCATAGGTTTTTTTAAGTCAGAAGTTTTGAGGCTTTATTTCCCCACACTGGAACCCTGGGTTGTGCGGTCTGCCTCGTTCCCCAGTTGTTCCTCCTGGTTTATTTGCATGCAGATGTGGACCATCCAGTCCTCCAGCCCCTGCCTTGCCTGCCCTGGTCCTCCAGCTGCCCTCCCTACCCTGGCTGCCTGTTTCTGTCCCTCCCACCAGTTTGAGTGAATGTTTCTTGTTTAACTCCCTGGTTGTCGGACTTCCCATAGAGTTCAATTTTCTGGCAGTTCTGGTTATTTTTTGTTTTTAAATTTCTTGTTGTCCTTCTTTTGGTTGTGTGAGGAGGCAAAGTGTATCTACCTATACCTCCATCTTGCCCAGAAGTCCTATGTGTTTAATTTTAAAATATGTTTACTTACCCTGCTGCTAAAATATTCTAGGGAATCATGTTTAAGAGCCACTTTGTTATTGTAAGAACTTTTTAATATATGTTCTATAAAGAGTACGTGTATTATTGGAATTATCGAGGTTGGAAAGACTAGCATGATATGTTAGAATTTGGGAGGAAGGGTATATGATTGTTTTTTGAGACCCTGGAACATAATTCTGACAGGACTTTTGATATATAATATTAGTTTGAAGATTGCATATAGTGTATCGTGCCTTTGTTTTTCTGTTTCCACTAAACTACTTCTGGTTTTTTTTTTAGCTCCATGTATGTATTTGGTGGTTTTAATAGTCTCCTTCTCAGTGACATCCTGGTATTTACCTCAGAACTGTGTGAAGCACACCAGAGTAAAGCTGCTTGTCTAGCAGCAGGGCCTGGCATCCAATGTGTGTGGGACCCAGGGTCATCTCAGTGTATCTCCTGGGAGCTGGCAACAGAAGCACAAGAAGAAAAGTTAAAATCAGAATGTTTTTCCAAAAGAAGTATGTTTTTCTCTGTTCTTAAAATATAATTAACTTGAAATCTCATTTTGTCTGAATTATGAAGGCACTTAGCATATGTATACTTTTTCTTAAGTTCATGTTATCATCCAAAAATATTCAGTAATAACTTATGCAAAGGTTTTATGGGGAATTGGTTTATAAACATCTTTACAATGGGTGGGACATGCCCTGTGGCTCCTGCAAGCTGTCTGCAAATCATAGAGACGAAAACTTCCCGAGTGTGGCTTAGACTTTGTATATCAGCTCCAGAATGTGGCTGCATTTTGTGTGAGGAGATGCAATTCAGTGATTTTTTTGTGTATGTTAATGGGAATATTCTGTATCTGCTTGTCACAGTATGGTAGCTCCTAATCACATGTAGCTGTAAAGCACTTGAAATGAGAGTGGTGTGACTGAAGAACTGAGCATTTTTTACTTTAATTAATTTCAATAAAAAACTCCACGTGGCTAGTGGCTACCATTTTGCCTTAGGCAGCGCTAATGTGAAGGGTGAGAAGAAGAGGGCCACCCAAAGCAGCTGCGTTGGGGTCGATCGCTCTCATGGACAGAGGTGACGTCGCAGCTGTCTTTGCAAAGTACTGTTCTTTTCTAGCCTCTCTAGTTCAGCACAGCAGTGATAGCAGGACAGACAGTTGCTGGGGGTGCATAGTGAACCCTGCTTCTAAAACTTCCTCTTGTACTTTCCAAGCTTTCTTCCTCTTGCCTACTTAGCTTCTTACCTTTATGCTCTGACATTTAACACAATGCAAAGTATTATGTGAGAAATTCCATTAAGAGTAAGAAAAATGTGCCCTGGCTGGGTAGCTCAAGTGGTTAGAGCATCTTCCCAATATTCCAAAGTTGTAGGTTTGATCCCCAGTCAGGGCACATACAAGAAGAATCAATGAATGCACAAATAAATGAACAACAAATTGGTGTTTTTCTCTCTCCTTCCCTTCCTCTCTCTCTAAAAGTCAATAATTAAAGATTAAAAGAAAAAAGAGTAAGAAAGATGTCTCTGTAGAATATTTTTTCAATTAACTTAAAGCATATTGACTGAATTTCGTAACTGTTAGGTCTGGTACAGCAGTCATCACGACAGTTATGGTGGACAGAGGCAGCTTTCACTCCTCAGCTGGACATAAGTCCTCAGTGAGGACACCCAGGCAGCCTTCTAGGTTCATTGGTGAGCTGGCAAGTGCTGGAGAACTGAGATGACCAGAACCTGGAAGGGTTAGTCCCTGTCTCCTAAAAGTGATAAAATCAGTGACATAGTTATTTTTTAACCAAGTTTTTAAAAATATTTATTTACTTTTAGATATGGCGGGGGGAGAAAGAGAGGAAGAGAAACACCAGTGTGCGAGAAATACATTGGTTGCCTCTCACATGCCCTTGATTGGGGATTCGGCCCGCAACCCAGGCATGTGCCCTGACCGGGAATCAAACTGGCAGCTTTTTGGTCAGCAGGCTGGTGCTCAGTCCACTGAGCCACACCAGCCAGAGCTTAACCAAATTTTTTAAAGTTCAAGTTAGATGTGCAAGTTTAATATAATACTCGCTTAGCTTAGGTGGTTCTTTATGAACCCATTTTATATGAGCTCATTCAGGTGTTGCCTCCCTGGTTCACTCTACCTCCTGTTTGGGCTTAGTCCTTGGAGTTATGACCAGGGCAGGAAGAACAAGCCAAGGAGCAGGGCGCTGGAGACTTTGTGAGGATGGCCCTACTCTTTCTTATCCATGGATTTCATCATGTGCTGTGTCCACAAGATGAGGCAATATGGTTGTGCAGCTTCTCTTTTGTTGCTAACCTTGACCTGTCTGGGGTCAATGGGAGGTGCAGCAGGTCTGCCCAGAAATTCTCAAACTTACATCTTTGGATTTACATATATGTGTACAAAATGCAGCCCAGCCTACTGCTTCCTTTAGGGTTCTATGATACTACCTTCTTCCTGTGCCCGGCTTAGCCTCGTGTTTGTAGCTGGGGGAAATGGCTTGGTCTCCTATCTTACTTTGGCTCCTTGGGAAGGTCCTGGCATTCATTCTGTTGGTAGTTTTTTTTTTTTTCCTTCGGGAAGAAAAGTATTTAAAGAACCAGAGCTCTTGTCTTGCTGTTGTTGAATTAAATTAGTCTGTCTTTCTTTTTTACTTTTTGTGTACTTTTGTAGGGGGAGTGGGTACAGAACAGCGTTTTTTTTTTTTCAAATTGTTTACAATTTTCTAAATCTGTTTTATTTTAACATGACCTCACTGATGTAATTTTCTACTAGTTGAGCTCCTTGTTTTACTTTCCAACCCTTGTCACATTTTTTTTTACCTAAGTCTCATTGTGCTCAACAGCAGTTGTAATGGCCTGTGACTTTTCTGAGGAGAAACTGTCACAGTTGATGAGTTTTTCTTCTCTTCATAGCTCTTGACCATGACAGATGTGACCAGCACACGGATTGTTACAGCTGCACGGCCAACACCAATGACTGCCACTGGTGCAACGACTATTGTGTCCCTAGGAACCACAGCTGCACAGAAGGCCAGGTCAGGGGCCGTTTCTGAAGGATTTCAGAGGATGGAACAAACCAGAGTGGGGTTATGTGGAGATTATAATGCGTGTGTTGTAAATACTGGCCCAGAGTTAATTTGTAAAACCTTCAGTGTAGATTTGGATTTTATTGTTGCTCAACTTTTCTTTTGGGAGGGGATGCTCTATGCATTCTGACGTTCTAAAGGTCCTTGTCACAGGATTGACGTGTGGGGTTTTAGAAGGAAGGAATAGTGTTTTGAGTAACCCCCACTTGCTAGGCCTGGCTGTGGCTAAACACTGGAGCCTTGGTGTAAGGCTTGTGAGCTCTACCTGTGCAAGGTTTCAGAGGCAAGTTAAAACTTGAGATTTATTTCCAAGATTCAGTGTGGCTGCTACACATTGAGTTGCGGAAGTAAATCTCCTTGTCTTATGTTATATCTTGGCTTAGCATAATTACCTATAATGTTCACCATTTGTAATTGTTTATTTAGGTTCTAAGGCAACAAAGATGATGACTCAGCTTTTAGGTTTTGACAGTTTACATAAGACATTCTTTGTCAATCTGTGAAGCAGTCCGTCAAATATAAAGCTTTTAGCCTGGTTGGGAGGCATTTGAAAAGCATTACATTCAACATCGCCACTTTACAGGGGAGCAGGTTGCGGCGTGGTGTTTAAGGGTGTCCTGCTTCCTTGCTGGGTAAAGGCATGTCCTTGAGCAGAACCTTTCACTAAAGTGTGTTCACTGCAGCGCAGTGTCGTATACATTCTGTTTGTTTATTTATGTATTTGTAGTTTGCTGCTTTAATTCAGTTTTTAGTATCCCGTGAGTCCTCTCTGTGGATACGACAAAAGCTGTTTTCTGCTGTGCTCTAGGTCTCCATTTCCAGGTATGAGAACTGCCCCAAGGACAACCCCGCGTACCACTGTAATAAGAAGACCAGCTGCAGGAGCTGCGCCCTGGACCCGAGCTGCCAGTGGGAGCCCCGGAATCAGGAGTGCATCGCCCTGCCCGGTAGGCTTTACAGCGGGACCTTGGGGTGTGCGTGGGTCTAGAGACTTCACATTCATGCCTCCCATACTGTGCAGCCTCGATCGAACCCAGCAGTGGTGGGCAAGCTCATTTCATCCATTCATCTCCCATACCACTATTGTGGCGGTGATTTTTGAAAACAAAAATATGGTTCTGAAGTATGCTCCTACATCCTTTGAAATGAAGTGAAACATCATCTGCTCTCTGGAGCATCAAATGACCACTTGGCTCCATAGCATGGAGCCCACTCTGTTGGCCTCGCCCCACTCTGCTGTGGGAGCCTGGGAATAGAATGCCACGGTCTCACAGCCAGTCTGCTGGGCACCCACTGAAGACTGCTTCCTTTTGACCGCTTGGATTAGACTGTCAGCACCTTCTGACGAGACGAGGCGAGATGCCTGTGTCCACAGCACCGCTTGGGGTGATCTCAAGCCCCAGATACCTTAATTTGTGGCACTTCTGAGGTTCAGGATGACAAGTTAGGGGATCTGAGGCCGGCCAGCCGTGACTGAAACTGCGGTGCATTTGCTGGGACTGAGATATTCAAGGAGGGGGATTCCTGTGGCGCTGCGCAGTGTCTGCGGCACGTGCACTGGGGCTCTGCGAGGCCCCTCGTCAATGGCCTCTGGATTTCTCTTTCATGAGTGGGCTTCTTGTTCTTTATCGCATTGCCTCTCAAACTTCAATGCACAACAGAATACCTGGGGATCTTGCTGGAAGTCAGATTTTGGTAGAAATCTAGTGTGAGGCCCAGAGTCTACATTTGAACAAGAAGTGACACTAATGCCACACTTTGAGGAGCGACTGTCTCTCTGCTCTTAAATGGTCCCTAACCCATGGTACCCTTCGTTCACCTCACCAACTACTACTGAGTGTTGCTGATGGCGTCTCCAGGGTACTTTGGTTCTGGTACAGTTGCTTTGCTCACTGTCTTCCAAGAGGTATTCAGGGCTTCCTGCCGTTCTTTGGGTGGGTTCGGGGCCATCACGGTTGCAGATTGCAGGTTCGCTTTCTGTGCGACAGCTGTATCGCTTTGGGTTTTTTTCTTCAAAAGAATCTTTCACTTCGTTTTTTGGGATAATTTGTGCACTTGATTTTACCTTCCATTTGATGTGAGAACAATGTAGTTTTTGAAGACTATAGACTTGTTCCTTTACCAGCTCATTTCCCATTCTTGCAGTTTTTAACCACATCCTTCCAGTATGCATATTTATTTTTCTGCTCTTAGAATTTTAGTCTTGTTTCTAATTGTTCTTCAAAAGGAGATTTATAAACTCCAACACTGGCACCAAACAAGTGTTTTCTTCAAAAATATGGGATGGTTGACCTCAGGATATGTTTTTTGAGATTCAGGAATATGACTGTGATAAGCATTTTTTAAATTCTTGTATTCTCTATCTGGTCCTTAGTAATATGTCTGATACTCCAGTACATCCTAATAAGTACTGCAATCCAGAGCCCCCAAACCATTTAGGTTTTCAGTAATTTGAATTAGTAACATAGTACTTTTATGTGGTTTCTAAAACTTTTCCTTTCTCTTCCTCCTTTACAAAAGAAACTATCTGTGGCAATGGCTGGCATTTGGTTTTAAACTCATGTATGAAAATCACCACTGCCAAGGAGAACTATGACAACGCTAAACTGTCCTGTCGGAACCACAACGCCTTCTTGGCCTCTCTTACAAACCAGAAGAAGGTAGACTTCGTCGTTACGCAGCTGAGAATAATGCAGTCGTCACAGAGCATGGTGAGTTAGAACCCCCAGAACCCCAGTTTCCAGGGCCCACTGTCTGCCGAGGGCACGTGGTGTGCTTGGCGGGGGTGCTGTGCCCGACTGTGGAACTGCCTGCCAGTCTCTTCCTTTAACGCCTTCCTTCTTATCTTAAAATTCTTAACACTTTATTAGTCATGTCTGTTAAAATATGTTTGAATAATTGTGTGTGTATTGAACAGTAACACACGTACTATGCACATACCTTTGTGACAGCAGTAGATGTTTTCAGGTCTGTTTTGTCCCTCGGTTCTGCTGTGGAGGGAGGGGAATGTCACTACCACTAGCTAGGTTGGATTAAGGTGCCCAGGTCTCTCAGATTTTAGGTATCATTATAGCGTGTAATATGATTTAATGTTCATCACCCTAAGGAGTGCCCACTTGTCTGCATCTTTCTTTAGGCCTGGCCAGCCCAAAAGGAGGGGGTACCTTACCAAGAGCTTCTAAGCACAGAAAGGCCCCCTGTTCTCTTTCCATCTGCTCAGTGCTCTGATGTGGCTTGTAGTTGACCTTCTGCAATCACATTTGGTATTTTTGAGTCCAAAGTCCTAGACTGTGGTCCTATCCTCAGTTCAGTAGATGGTCACAAGACTAAGCTCTTAACAGTGCTGGCTTTGGTACAGAGCAGGTTGGGGAGAACGTTCTTCTCAACAAGCAGGGAAAAGCAACAGGTGGACTTCCTCAGGTGCAGCCTTCTTCAGGTGAGGACAGGGAGTACTGTCTGGGTCCTGGCTACCTGTGGCCCCTGATGCCCCCTGGAGGGCAATTCTGCAGCTGGTAGGAGGTGCCCTGTACTTGACTTTTCTCCAGTGAATCTCTTTTCCTTTTCCAGTGCAACTTGGTATGGTGTAGACACTCAAATGTTGGTAATACATTATAAATGTAGTTTACCTCAGGGGACTCTGTGACCACATTTGATATTTTATATCTTGGTGTTAGGAGACAGCAGACCTGGCCCCGAGTGGGTCTGCCTAGGGCTGGCTGGTAGTGTGTGGGTTCTTGACTTCATGCAGGAAAGATTTCACAACGTGAGTCCAGGTGACTATGAGGGTATGTTTATTAAAGCTGGGGACAGTGAAACAAGGAACGCCTTAGCATAGAAGAAGTACCAGGAGAGCCCAGGCTGCTTTAGCTCACTGGGAAGTGAGAGAAAAGGGGGTCTTGAGGACAGGTTCAGGGGCAAGCTGCTGCTGCTCATTGTTCCCCTGGTTGCAAGTCTCCTGGGGTCCCTTAGAGTTTAGGAGATGAGTGCCTGTGGGGGAAGAAGAGGAGGAAGGGAACAGCGTGGGCATGCTTCCCAGAGGGAGAGCGCCCTGGGTCCTTTGTCTTGAGGGCTTTTCTCATTTTAAGATTTTTCATTTGTTCATTTTCAGAAAGAGGGGTGACAGAAGGGAGAAAGACGGGAAGAGAAACATTGATGGGGACAATATCTGCAACCCGGGCTTGGACATTGACTGGGAATTGAACTGGTGACCTTTCACTTTGCAGGATGATACCCAACCAACTGAGCCACACCAGTCAGGGCTGTCTTGAGGACTTTTAACTCTCTCTTGCAGGCAGGCATTTTAGAGGTCTCAGGGAAACATTTTAGCAGAATATTCATTATTTTTCCAAGTGTGCCAGTTTAGGGTCGTGGTCTCTACTGCTGGGTCAGTGCCAGGGCAGGGAATTGTGAGTCCTGTAGCTGGTCCTGGCATTGCTGGCCTAGTCTTGCTGCCTGTCTGAGCCTGGGGCTGAAATACAACAGAGGCCTAGATGTTATCTCCAGGGAGATGACCTTCCGTGTCAGACTATAAATTGCTCAGCCAGTTTGATCAGCCATCTGTCTCAATTTCCCTATTCCACTTGCCAAGGAATTTTTCTAGCTTCTTACTCTCCTGCCTCAGTAAAAGATTTTTCAAATTCATAATCTCCATTGGAGACTGTTCATGTTGTTTGTTTCTTCTCACCTGAACTCCAGATATGGGTTTCTACAGTGTTCTATCCTTGGCTGTCAACTTATCTCACCTGTAGTCAACTCCCTCAGAAAACTGGAGGCTTACAGTTTTGTTCATTACCAGTGATTCCCAATTCCATGTGCCTCAAAGAACAGCTGGTTGCAAGGGTTTTGCCATCCCAGCTGGCCACCAATGTTCTCTCTTCTTGTCCTTCTTCTTTCTTCCTCAGGTTTTCTAGCTCTAGAAGGTTCTAGGTAGTCAAATCAGCTGGGACTGCCTTTATACAACAGGAATTTAGTCTTGTGTTATAAGTTGAGACTGAGAGCCCAGGCTTATGCAAAAACAAGCAAGAGTACCCAACTAGCCTTTAGGGCAGAGGCAGGCTGATAGGCAGAAAGAGGTAACCCCTGAAGAGGGGGAGTGGATTGGGAAGGTGAATAGGGAAGGGCTTTCTGTGCTTTGCTACCTGCTCATCCAAGACGAGGAGACTGAGGGATGAGCTGCAGGCTGGGTAGAAGGAATGTAGCTGGATCTTATGAGGAATCGAGGCCGAAACCTGAGAGGCCTTATCTACAATGCTGATTGCTTCGAGTTTTATCATGAAAGCAAAAGAAAGTTATTGAAGGACTTTTTAAAAAGCATTAATTTTAATTATTTTTTTCTTTAAAAAATACATATTTCAAAGGAAATTTATAAAACAGTAACATTAAAAATAGAATAAATATTACTCATTACAACTAAAAATAACTACTTTGGATATGTTTATTTCTTTTAGGTCTTTTAATAGGTACTCATTTCTTTTCTCTCAAAAATGGAAATGTATCATACACTTTGTTTTATAACTGCCAAAATTAGAAATATCTTTCATTTCTGGGCTAAACTTTGTACTTTATTTTAAAAGAAATTTTTCATGCAACTAGAAGGAAATTGCAGTAGAGCAGGAGTCAGAGACTCTCCCTGTGGTTTACTATCGCGTTAGAATTCCCTATAAAATTCAGTGCCAGACAGTACCTTCCAGTTGAAGGTGGGACTCTCCGATCATCTGAACTGGTCAGTGCCCCCAAACAGGCTTATTAGTTCATGACTCTGACTATAGACACATAACCAGTATTTCAGAAACATTGGCAAGATGACTTCATATGTGAATAAACATTTAAAACAAGTTTAAGGGTGGCCATCTCTTCATAGCATTTGTCTTAGGATATGGAAATTTTGGACTTTGATTATTGTTTTCCCATTAATCTCTTTGAAATGTTTGATATATTCTCTGAGCTATATTTCTGTCCTTTGCAAAATGGCCATAGTTGAAATACCAAGCATAAAATGTAACATAAAAATATGATCTACCTAACGTGCAGTAGCCGAGTCAGCAGACAGAGAGGTTTTCCTGTATGTCGGGATAAGTAACTTAAAACCATTTAAGTAGCTGTATTGTTATCTAGACGCCTGTTTTGGTCAATACATTGATTATATTCATGGCTGTGTCTGTTTTGCCTATAGAACAAGCAGACCTTGACCCCGTGGGTTGGGCTTCGGAAGATCAATGTGTCCTACTGGTGCTGGGAAGATATGACCTCATTCACAAATAGTACAATTCAGTGGATGCCATCTGAGCCCAGTGACGCCGGATTCTGTGGGATCTTGTCAGAACCCAGTCCTCGGGGCTTGAAAGCTGCAACCTGCATCAACCCCCTCAATGGTAGTGTCTGTGAAAGAGAGGGTAAGTGTGGGGAATTACACATTTTGGAAGTTCACTGAGAGAGAAAATGTAGGAGGCATGGTGTTGATATGTGTGAAATAATCATGAAAAACAGAATTGATTTGAAGTATATGAAGCAGAGTATAACCAAGAATTTTAGGAAATAGCCTCTGGCTCTGAATAGTATGAGCCATAAGCCTAAACAAAAATAACTAACTGCTCAAAGAACCTAATATTCTAATTAACAGTGAGAATGATTGGTTTGTTGATTACAAAAAGTATTGCGACTTGCTCTAAAAGGTAAATTTCTTGGTGTTGCCAGAGAAATGCTATGGAAGAGAGAACCAAAAGTGCAAGTAAAAGCAATGGAAAGGTCAGAACTGACAGTGGGGGACAAAGGGACAGCAGACAGAAAGCTTGTGACAGAAAAATGATGAGAGCAGTTCTACAACAAAATACAAGCAAGCCTGATGTGCCCAAGCTGTGCTCGAGTCCGGAAGGAACGAGCATTTTGAGCAGCTTCACGGTTTTAATGTCTCCTCTGGGCTATACTTAGGCTTCTTCAGGGCTCCTCTGGGCTATATTTGGGCTTCTTAAAGGCCCCTGCAGCACGCAGACCAGCCCAAGACAAGCATCCTCCTCCTGCAGAGGAACTCACAAGTAATAGGTGGAATTTTCTAGGCACTTTTGGGAGGTTGGACTCCATCATTTTAGGATGGTACCATATTGTAGGGAACACAGAAGTGTAGAGGAGAATTCATAGCACTGTAGGAGTCACCCTAAAGTATGATTTCTAAACTTCCTATAGGGGAGCTTTTAGCCATTTTGGATCTCGTGTATTTAATGAATGCTGTCGTCTTTCTTTTCCAGAATATGCAAAGATACGATTTTGCATGTTCAGGTGGACTATAAAACCCCTAAATTGTAAGGAGCTTTAGAACTCCCACTTGAATGGAAAGAGTACCTTGTTCCTACCTGTCTGTTCTTATGCTCTTTGAAAAGAAAAATATCTTTTCCCCAAAATGTATAAATATACTTGACTAAACAGTACAAGGTGACTCTAATGTTTCCTGTTTTCTCCTTCATTTAACGTAGTCCACCGAATTGATTTCATGACATACTGGTGGGTCATAACCCACACTGAAAAGCCTTTGACCTTAGCTGACCTGGGGGGAGCTCTGAGTGTCTCTCTTGGGTTGACTTCCAGCGAACCACAGCAGCAAGCAGTGCCGGGTGCCGTGTGCCCTGAGGACGGCGTGTGGGGACTGCACCAGTGGCAGCTCCGAGTGCATGTGGTGCAGCAACATGAAGCAGTGTGTGGACTCCAATGCCTACGTGGCCTCTTTCCCCTACGGCCAGTGTTTGGAGTGGTATACCATGAGCAGCTGCCCCCGTAAGTGAAACGTGAGCTCTAGGCACTAATTAGTGCCCTGTGTGCAAGTGACAACTGCTGCCGGGAAGCAGTGCTTTCAGCCTCTGAACAATTCAGGGACAAGACTCAATTTGACTGTCGGCTCGGGTCTGTCCATTGACTGCCTGATGAGAACCTTCACACAGCATTATGCATAGTGACATGAGTAAATAAATGTAAGATAGGTCACAGAGTACAGAAATAACTCCTCGACTTCAGTACCATATTGCTCATATAATAAGTGCTTCCCAGCAGGTGACCTCTAAGGTCCCTTCTGCCTCCAACATCCTGAGATTGAGAGAGAAGGGAGGACTCCTTATTATTGTAGAGCAAGATATTGGGCTCTTCAAATTTATTATGTCATTTAAACAGTCACAATAGAATGGGAATTTTGACTCACGGAAGGTGAATAGTCTGTTAAAGAACAAGGTAATTACTAAGGACAATGAATTCAGATCAACTTGTTTTGTTCTCTTTTTTCAACAGCTGGAAATTGTTCAGGCTACTGTACCTGTGGCCATTGCTTGGAGCAACCAGGCTGCGGCTGGTGTACCGATCCCAGCAATACTGGCAAAGGGAAATGCATAGAGGGCTCCTATAAAGGACCAGTGAGGATGCCTTCTCAGGCCCCTATAGGAAATTTCTACCCACAGCCCCTTCTCAATTCCAGCATGTGTCTGGAGGACAGCAGATACAACTGGTCTTTCATTCATTGCCCGGGTAAGATGTCTCGTGTAGCCAAAATCAAGTGTTTCACTACCTACTTGCAATGAATGAACCCTTGAAAGCCCTGGCCTGTGTGACTCCATTGGTTGGAGCATCATCCCATAAACCAAAAGATTGGCAGATTCAGTTCCCAGTCAGGGCACAAGCCTAGGTTGTTGGCTTTGTCCCCAGTTGGGGTACGTACGAAAGGCAACCAATTAATGTTTCTCTGTCACATCAGTGTTTCTCTCCCTCCCTTCCCTTCTCTATAAAGTCAATTAGCATGTCTTCAGGTGAGGATTAAAGAAAACAAATATTGAAAGCTATATTATTTATATGGATTTCCTTAAAAAATACATATAACAGATCATTGTGGAGAAATAGTTTTACATGGAAAATATCTTTAGTACCTGTTATCGAAAATACAAGGAATTTCAAGTGAGTTGTTTTGTTAACATTCATTACAAAAGTAATGAAATAATTTCATAATAAAAAATTAAATATTACAGATGTACATAATATAAAAACTGGAATCCCTCATCTCATGTCCATTTCTTCAGAGAAATACAAATTTTTACCAGTTTAGCCCTGGCTGGTGTGGCTCAGTGGATTGAGCACGGGCCTGTGAAGCAAAGGGTTGCTGGTTCGATTCATGGTCAGGGCACGTGCCTGGGTTGCGGGCCAGGTCCCCAGTGGGGGACACATGAGGGGCAACCACACATTGATGTTTCTCTCCCACTCTTTCTCCTTCCCTTCCCCTCTCTCTAAAAATAAATAAATAAAATATTTAAAAAATTTTTTTTACCAGTTTGATATAGATACTTCTAGACACACTAATGTGTATTTTTAAAACAAAAAAAATACCATTCGTATGATATGGTATCTACAGTTTGTTTTTTATTTAAAAATACATCTTGGCAGTTGTTAGGAGAAAAATTAAAAATAAGATCTCCAGTCAACCCATAAATTCCTCTCCACAAATGTAGAAAGAAGGAAACAGAAAGAAAACAGCTTCATTATTGACTAAGCTTTAAGCAGACTGTGGCACACATCACAGGCAGTCCGCTAAGGAGATTGCAAAGACCAAGCGAAATCCCCCCCTTTTAAATAAACAGCCAGGCAGATGCCATCCATTATGTATGTGTTCTCAAGATGATGATAATTTGTCCTCCTGTGAGAGCATTTGGTGGCATGGTTTGCTGTACATTCTTTCATAGTTCGTTGTGAGTTTACCTGGTAATAGGGGTGGCCACTTGTGTTACATAATTGTGTTTATCCAACGAACAAAATAAATCATATTGTGTCTTTTGGTTGGAACATCAGCCTGTATTCCAAAAAGGTTGTGGGTTTCATACCTGGTTGCAAGTTCCATCCCTAGTTGGGGTGGGTATGGGAGGCAACTCACCGATATCTCTGTCTCACATTGACGTCTGTCTGTCTGCCTGTCTCTCTCTTTCTCCCCCTCCCCCCGCTCCCCACTCTTCCTCTCTCTCTAAAATCAATAAACATATTCTTGAATGAAGATTAAAAAAAAAAAAGAAGGAATAGACCATGAGTTGACCTAAAAGCCTGAATCTGCTGGGGAGGCTGCTTTGAGAAACAAATCCTGAGAAATTAGCCTTGATACAGACCTTCAGTAGATACTCAGGAATGTGCTGATGGGCCCCAGAACAGCTGGGAGAGGTCGGGCAGGTGCAAAGACTCCCAGGAGATTAGTGGGGGAGAACTCCAAGAGCCTTGCAGACAGCATCACTGACAGCAGGGCTCTCCGTGAGTTCTGTAAGGGAAAGACCACTGTAAACAAAAATAAAAGGCAGGAGACAGATGGGGGAAATATCTGCAGTGTATATGTCCAATGATTGCAGAGTATGTAAGCCTCCTCCCTCCAGGGGAAAAAGGAAAAGCTAAGTTATATGCCAACAGAAAAAGTGGGCAAGGGTGTAAATAAGTAGCACCATTTTGCACTCACTAGAGATATAAAAAGGCTCAGATTTCTTCACATCCTCATCAATACTAGTGTTCATCTTTTTTATTGTAGCTGATCTAGTGTATGAGAAATGGTATCTCACAGTGGTTTTGGTTTCCCTAATGACTAATGAAGTTGAGCATCTTATTGGCCATTTGTATGTCATATTTAGAAAAATGTCTATTCAAAGTTTTTGACCATTTTTAAATTGCATTACTTGTCTTTTTATTATCAACCTGTGAGAGATTTTTATGAATCCTACATAAGTCCCGTATTGAATATATGGTTTGCAATACACAAGCACACCCGGATGGGTGTGCTTATGTATTTTCTTTCATTCTGTGTGTTTCTTTCTTTTATAAAAAATATATTTTATTGATTATGCCATTACAGTTGTTCCATTCCCCCCTACCCTGCACACCCCCTCCCCCCACAGTCCTCTCCTGTAGTTCATGTCCCTGCGTCATAAGTTCTTTAGCTTCTACATTTCCCACATTACTCTTGCCCTTCTCCTATCTATTTTCTTCCCACTGTCTATGCTACTTATTCTCTGTACCTTCTCCCCCCTTCTCCTCCTCCCACTCCCCTGTTGCTAACCCTCCATGTGATCTCCATTTCTGTGGCTCCACTCCTGATCTAGCTGTTCGCTCAGTTTGCTTCTGTTTTAGGTGTGGTTGTTAATAACTGTGAGTTTGCTGTCCTTTCACTGTTCATATTTTTTAACTCCTTTTTCTTAGATAAGTCCCTTTAACATTTCATATAATAAGGGCTTGGTGATGATGAACTCCTTGAACTTGACCTTATCTGAGAAGCACTTTATCTGCCCTTCCATTCTAAGTGAAAGTTTTACTGGATAGAGCAATCTTGGATGTAGGTCTTTGGATTTCATGACTTGGAATACTTCTTTCCAGCCCCTTCTTGCCTGTAAGGTCTCTTGAGAAATCCGCTGACAGTCTGATGGGAACTCCTTTATGGGTGACTGTCTCCTTATCTCTTGCTGCTTCTAGGATTCTCTGCTTCATTTTAATCTTGGCTAATGTAATGATGATGTGCCTTGGTGTGTTTCTTCTTGGGTCCAACTTCTTTGGGACTCTCTGAGCTTTCTGGATTTCCTAGAAGTCTGTTTCCTTTGTCAGAATGGGGAAGTTCTCCTTTATTATTTGTTCAAGTAAGTTTTCCACTTGTTGCTGTTCCTCTTCCCTTTCTGGTACCCCTATAATTCGGGTGTTGGAACGTTTAAAGATGTCCTGGAGGCTCCTAAGCCTCTCATTTTTTTTTGAATTCTTGTTTCTTCATATTTTTCTGTTTGGTTGTTTCTTTCTTCCTTCTGGTCCACTCCCTTGATTTGAGTCCCAGTTTCCTCTTCATCACTATTGGTTTCCTGTGTATTTCCTTCATTTCAATTAGTTTAGCCTTCATATGTTTCTCTAATTTGTGACTAAAATCAACCAGTTCTGTGAGCATCCCGATCACCAGTGTTTTGAACTGTGCATCTGATAGGTTGGCTACCTCCTGGTAGCTTAGAAGTATTGGTTCTGGGGCTTTGAGTTATTCTCTTTGAGCCATAGTGTTTTGGTCTGTTCACATCTGTTACATATGAGGTGCAGGGCCTTAGGTGTTCACCAGGCTGGGTCCACCCAGTGGCTGGGTTACGACTCTGTAAGTGGGGGCTGGGTCAGAGAGGGAGCAATGGCACTTGTTCCATGCTCCCTGGGAATTTTGTCCCCTCTGCTGCTTCCCACAATCAAATTGGGCCCTTGTGGTGCTGGTTCCCGGGTGGGTGTGCTTGTGTATATTCTAGGACCCAGTGGGTCTCTCCAATGAACTCTCCTATGAGGCTGGGAGCCTCTCTCGGCACGTCAACCCCTGAAAAATTTTTTTTAGTCAGTGCTTTTAGGCTTTATTTCTCATCGCCGGGGCCCTGGGTTTTGCAGTCTGTCTCACTGCCCTTTATTTTCCCTGGTTTATCTGCGCATGAATGTGTGACCGCGGTCAGCTAGCCACCTTGCGCCTTCACTGGGTCTGCCCGTTGCCACCCCACACCTGGGATCTGCCAACCACTACCTGCATGCCTGGGTCGGTCTGGCAGCCACTGCTTTTTCCTGCCTCGACCCCTCTCCGCAGGCCAGTGACTCCACCCCTCTTCAGGTCTGGATGAATGGTTTGTTGTTGTTGGACTTCAGTACAGTTCAATTTTCTGTCTGTTCTGGTTGTGTCTTTGTTTCTAAATCTTTGTTGTCCTTAAATTTGGTTTTGGGAGGAGGTGCAGTGTTTCTACCTACGCCTCCATCTTGGCTGGAAGTCCTGTTTCTTTCTTGATAGACTCCTTTGAAATACTTCTTGTATTTTTTATTTTTTAAATATATTTTATTGATTATAGTATTATAGTTGTCCCATTTTTCTCCCCTTTATTTCTTTCTGTCCTATACCTGCCTCCCACCAGCATTCCCCGACCTTACTTCATGTCCATGGGTCATACATATAAGTTTTTTGGCTTCTCCATTTCCTATACTATTCTTAACCTCCCCCTGTCTATTTTGTACCTACTCTTTATGCTTCTTATTCCTTGTACCTTTTCCCCCATTCTCCCACCTCCCCCTCCTCGTTGATGATCCTCCATGTGATCTCTATTTCTGTGAATCTGTTCCTTTTCTACTTGTTTGCTTCATTTTTGTATTTGGGGTTTTTTTTTTAGGTTCAGTAGTTTATAGTTGTGAGTTTGTTGTCATTTTATTGTTCATATTTTGATCTTCTTTTTCTTAGATAATTCCCTAATAAGGTCTTGGTGATGATGAACTCCTTGAACTTGACCTTGTCTGAGAAGCACTTTATCTGCCTTTCCATTCTAAATAATAGCTTTGCTGGATAGAGCAATCTTGGATGTAGGTCCTTGCCTTTCATGACTTGGAATACTTCTTTCCAGCCCCTTCTTGCCTTTAAGGTCTCTTTTGAGAAATCAGCTGACAGTCTGATGGGAATTCCTTTTGTAGGTAAGTGTCTCCTTTTCTCTTGCTGCTTTTAAGATTCTCTTCTTATCTTTAATCTTGGCTAATGTAATTATGATGTGCCTTGGTGTGTTCCTCCTTGTGTCCAACTTCTTTGGGACTCTGAGCTTCCTGGATTTCTTGGAAATCTATTTCCTTTGCAAGATTGGGGATGTTCCCCTTCATTATATTTTCAAATAAGTTTTCAATTTCTTGCTCTTTCTTTTCTCCTTCTGTCACCCCTGTGATTCGGATGTTGGAACATTTAAAGTTGTGGTTCCTAAGACTCTCCTTGTTTTTTTGAATTCTTGTTTCTCTATTCTGTTCTGGTTGAATGTTGATTTCTTCTTTCTCCAAACTGTTGATTTGAGTCCAGTTTCCTTCCCTTCACTGTTGGTTCTCTGTGTATTTTTCTTTATTTCACTTTGCATAGCCTTGACTTCTTCCTTTATTTTGCATCCATACTCAGTCATTTCTATGAACATCCTGATTTCCAGTGTTTTGAACTCTGCATCTGATAGGTTGTCTCTCTCTTCATTGCTTAGTTGTATTTATTTATTTATTTATTTATTTATTTATTTATTTATTTATTGAGCTTTGATCTGTACTTACTTTATCTTTTTGTCTTGGCACACCTGTTACATAGTAATGGGAAGAGCCTTAGGTATATTCTAGGGCAGGGCAACCCACGTCATTTGTGTGGTCTGTCTCACTCCCCAGTTGTTCCTCCCATTTTATCTGCATGCAAATGTAGAACTGCCCACTCTGCCAGATGCCACTTTGCTAAGAGTCTTCTCCATCCCAGCTGCTGGTTTCTGCCACTCTTACTGATCTGGATGAATGTTTCTTCTTTAACTCCTTGCTTGTCGGACTTCCATACAGTTTGATTTTCTGGCAGTTCTGGTTATTTTTGTTTTTAAATTTGTTGTTGTCCTTTTGGTTGTGAGTGTTATCTACCTACAACTCTATCTTGGCCAGAAGTTCCAAATACTTCTAATAGTACTTTTCCTTCCTACCCCATACTCCTATTGATTTAATCATTGTTTTTACATTTCTTTTGTGATTTTAGTGGGATTTTGAAGAGGAAGAGAGAGGCATTTGCTCAGTCTTTTTAAATTGTACCAGAACACAGATTTTTTTGTGTGTAAATGATTTTAGGTGTTGCACTTTGTGTGTGTTGCGCTCTGCCATTTGCTATGTAGTTGGTCCTTTGTATCCATGAGTTTTGCACCCACAGATAGAGAAGCCCAGTGAAGGGACTTAACTTCAGAGGAACAACATGTGTATCCCACACATGTAAAGTGATTTTGGTGCAGTCATAACTGATGTAGTCATTTCTAAGTTTTTCAGCTGCAGTCTGTATAGAACAAGTCAAATACAGGGACGGGGTAGAAAACAGGTGATAAACAGAATAGGTATGAGGCTATGAAAAGTTTCTGAGATGGTAAAAAAAACTGTATTGTGCTGATGAAGCAATAAAAATCTACAAAAACTGCTAAAAGAGTAAATCTTTAATGTTCTCACACACACACACACACACACACACACACACAGAAGATGGTGATTATGTGATATGATCCAGGTGTTAACTAATGCTGTGTTGGCCAACATTTGGTGATACTTAATTGTGTACAGTCAGCATATTGTACACCCTGAACTTATACAATATTCTATGTCAGTGGGGGGCAGGGGCAGATCTGTGTAATCAGATTCTGCTCACCGTGGTTCAGGTCATGTGCTGTGTGAGTGCCCCCCCAGGTCCTCAGCGGGCAGCCCGCACAGCGGTGCCAAGCAGTCCCGAGGAGTCCGGGCTCCTATCGCCTTTGTCGTTGTAAAGACCTACGCGCATCAAGAATCTTACTAGTGCCACTTATGAAAATGTTTATAAGTAGAGATAGTTATTTTCATCACCATGAAAAATTGAACCAGTAAATATCAGAATGTAAAGGAATGGTTAAATAACTGTTATGGCTCATGGAAATCATCATACCATTTAAAGTTTTGTTCATTATAGATGAACTAATGTGGTAAAATGCTTGTGATGTAAGTTTAAAAATCAGAATTGAGGCTGGTATGGCTCAGTGGATTGAGCACCAGCCGGTGAACTGAGAGGTTGCAGGTTCAATTCCTAGTGAAGGGCACAGGCCTGGGTTGCGGCCACATCTGCAGTTGGGGGTGTGGCGTGCAAGAGGCGATCAATCAGTGTATCTCTAGCACATCGATATTTCTCTCCCTCTTTTTCTCCCTCCCTCCCTCCCTCCCTCGAAAGGTGAATAAATCTTTTTTTAAAAAATCAAAATTGAATATTACAGTGAACACTATGAAAATGTCACAACAACTATGTTGTGATCTCTGGGTACTGGAGTTATATATGACTTTTCCCTCCTTCCTTAGTTTTTCAAATTTAACTACCATAAGCATATATTATTTTTACAGTGAATAGCAAAAATTATTTTAATGACTGTGGACTTTCTTCTTGCTATGGTACATTTCTGATTTTCACGCATTAGCTATTTTTTGATGTCTTGAGCTTATTTCTCAAACTAGTTTTTAGCAAATCAGTTTTGATGATTTTGGTATTTAGAGGCAATAAGAAAGTTACAAATAGATCTTGTGGTGCTTACTCCACCCAGTTGTACGGTGAGACAAAAAGAAAATTCTTTTTCTTTCAGCTTGCCAGTGCAATGGCCACAGCAAGTGCATCAATCAGAGTATCTGTGAGAAGTGTGAGGACCTGACCACGGGCAAGCACTGTGAGACCTGTATCTCTGGCTTCTATGGCGATCCCACCAATGGCGGGAAATGTCAGCGTAAGTCAAATCCATCAGTCAGGGCTATTGACTGCAGCCCAGGTGGAACATGATGCTTCTATTTGACTTGAATATCTAGGAGGAAAACCACTTGGTTTTAGATACTGCATTTCTAAAGTCATATTTGTCAGAAGCTCAGCTGAGCCTGGGAGAAAGTGAGCTGAGCTGCCAAGTGTCAGAGTAGCCAGTTAAAGCAACAAACCAAAAATGAAAGAATTAAGCTTTTAATCACTTGCTGTGGCAGTATCAGAAAGAGGCTTAACATGGAAAAGCACTGACTCCCCTTGTTGCATGTCCCCTCCTGGAATGGCACACTGGTTGAGCATCAGGTGGATGAGCACAGAGGTGGGGGCTGGTCTTCTCCCTGTTGAGGGAGCCCAGACAGAAAGCTCAGCACACGCCTCTGATGGGCCCTGGGGTGGGGAGGGAGGGTGAGCAGGGAGGGCTGGGAATGGAAGAGCACTGAGGACTGAGAGTGGGGAAAGATCTCCAGGGCCTCCCCCTCCTCCCTCACAAGGGAGCTCAGCAGAGGCCTGCAGATGACCTCTGCCTGAGACCTCATTTAAAGTGACCTAGGATGAAGGCATCTGAAGTAGGGATGCAAATATGTGAAAGCAGTGGCCAACCAGGGGGTCCTGAGACCTTGTCTGCAACTCCTCAGAGACTTCCTCCCAAACTGGTGGGGGGTGGGCAGCCTTCTGTGTAAGGCCTGCCAGGGAAAGCCTGTGGTTGGAAAAAGTCACACCCAGGTTTTTGACCAGGAGCTGGACTCCTCAGCACTTCTAAGTGTATCTTAAATATTTAGGTGCTCTCGTGTTTCCCCATACACGTCAGATAGATTCCTGCAAGCAATAGGATGTTTTATTGTTAGAATATATATTACATTTTTTTATAAATGACCAATATTACTAGTGAACTGGTTATTGGTTTCTTCTAGTTTCCATTGGAAAGACCCATCAGGTTCTGAGCAGGGAAATAAAAGAAATTCTCTAGCTACTCCTTAAATTCCACCTCCAAACTCCTTAGCGTGAGCCTTGAAAAAGGTCTGATCCCAGAGCAGCTGGGAGAGAGCTGTGTTCCAGCAGTATATCGCTCAGCTTCTCTGGGGTTCAGTTTCCTCGTCTGCAAGATGGGGATATGAAAGGGGTTGTTGAAATGAAAGAAGTCCGAGAAGCGCATGACATGTAGTCATCACTCAGTAGATGTGAGCAATTATTATTACTCTTCTAATGCCATTTTCTGCCACTCTTAAATAAAATTTCTTGCTCAGATTAAAAGATCATTCAGTAAAAATATTTTCCCACTCCTGTGAATAGACTTCATTCATTAGATAGTAATCAGAGTACCTAACTTTATTGATAATTGTATACAAGGCATTGTGCTGGCAGCCACCTGAGGCATAGGGGCTTTTGTTGTCCCCATGATGGAGGAAGCTGCCCAGCTTCTCACTGCAAGAGGTGGCCGTGCTGGGAACCCTCTCCAGAATGTCTGAATTTACTGTGCCTCCAGGGGCCAAGGTCAGCTAGATCTGTGCCTTGTTCTTATCATCCCTGTTCCTGCATCTGCCATCTAGAAAAATTACATCCTGCTCTGTAGCATTTGTGGGGGCTGAGTACTATTTTCTAGAACTTAGAGTTAACTGTATGTTTTAGAGTCCCGGTCCACAACAGAAAGCATCGTTTTAAAATACCGTGAGTGGCACCATGTGTTTTATGTTTTCCTCTTAGAGTTGTATGGCCCTTGAGCTAAGGATGATGCCCATGAGTCATTGAGTGCCTACTGTATTTCATTCCCTGTCTCACTTCATCCTCACAACAACCCTATGAAATAGGTACTAGCACTATCTTCCTCATAGAGAGGAGGAAACAGAGACTTAGAGGAGTTAAACAGCTTGGCCAAACATAAAAAGAAGCTAAGTGGAGGGGACTGAATTCAGAGCCAGGCAAACCAACCACAGGCCTTTGCTTTTTATTAATACACTGTGCCCCTTTCTCCCTGCTCAACTGAGCCAAGAGTTGAACACTCAGGTTTCTGCCTGTTCATCCACTCTGTTACCTGCTTTACTAATTTCGTGCCATAGGTTTCTTTGGGTCATTTTTTTTCTCTGCAAGATTTATTTTTAAAGTGTACCAGTCTCCAGCCTAATGCCTTTCATTTATTTGCAGAAAAGTAGGGTGTGAAGTGAAAAGGAATTGAACAAAAAGACTCACTTACTTCAACTAGAGCATAAAATTTGTCATGGCTCATACTTGTCTGATTAAAAAAATTGATAGAGAGGTGTTGATGGCTAGAGGAGGGAGCTGGTAGGTTTTTTATGGAGGCTAAGAAGAAGGCAAGAAAGGGCGGTGAGTTCTGAACGGCCTCTGAACACTGACCTGCCACTGGAATCCCACCCCAGTTCTGAGCCCCTCTGTGATTAAAACATGACCATTGTGGAGCAGGCACCTCAGCTGAGGCAGAGCACAGAGGGACCAGCCCTCCCCTCTGGCAGTCACCGCTCAGAACATCTCCGTGGGGGCAGGGAATGGCACACTGGAGACACTCCATAAATGTTTGCTGAACGAATGAATTGTAGTAGTGAACACCAGAGTGTCTATTGAAAAGATAAACATGGTGATTGCTTCAGAAGGCAATGGAAATGACATTCTTTCCTCCTGTTTTTTTACTTTAGTTTTTTTTAACATTTCCTTTACATTATTTGAGATAAATCATTAGCTGAAAAACAAATCTCACCCATTAAATACTTTTTTAAATGTTTTTCATATCAAATCCAATTCAGGTAGAATTTTTTTTTGTAGAAAAAGTCTCAGATAATAGTAATGTCCTAAGCCAGTTGAACTTGACCAGCGTTCCTTTTCCTCCTTCCAGCATGCAAGTGCAATGGGCACGCAGCGCTGTGCAACACCAACACGGGCAAGTGCTTCTGCACCACCAAGGGCGTCAAGGGGGACGAGTGCCAGCTGTGAGTACCACCCTCCCGTGACCGCACCTGGGTTTAGTGACTGACAGCCTGTCAGCTGGGTCTGTGCCTTGTTGCCGTGGGCTCTAAGGGATCCTCAAACTGATTGATTGGGAACTTTACCCTTTCCACTTCAGACAGGTCTAGCTTGGTCAGCCTCTGTACTGAATAGGTTGTCAGTGGAGGAGCAATTTCTTAATGACTCTTGAAGTTACATTTTCCTGTCTCAGTGACACTGACGTTTCCGGGGTTGCTGACCTGGATTAGTCGTTTAACTTCAGCCACGACTCGATTTTTTTTCATGTCACGAGATTACACTCTTTTCCAAAAGATAAAGTTGGTAGAGCTAGTATTTTATTTGGCATTTTGGTTGTCTGATAGTGGAGATGAGCCTCTTCGGCCTTTAACACATCCCTCCCTGTTCTAGTGTTTTCCTTGACAAAGTATATGAGACATTTTCCAGGAGAGAGTCCGGGGTCCTCACCCATGAGGATGCAGGCAGACGTGGGGGGTTTCAGCCCTGGCTGTGCCTTCACTGAGCAGGGTCCTCTGGAAGCAAATCACTCGATGTGCGGAACCTCAGTTTCCATATCCGTCAACAGTGGGGCTAGCAGTAATCCTTTTTAGTGTCCTGGGATGTTGAGAGAAGAGAGATGGTTTTCCAATTAATATATTCCTCTCTTCCTCACCAGAAAACCTCACAAAACACACGTTCCATGTTTACTCATACCCTCAAGAAGAAACTTAGAAATGTTTAGTAGTATCAGAATAATGAGCTGATACAACCAGATGTGTCATCGGTAAACTCCGGCTTATTGAACACTAGTAACATCACCAGTGATTGAGGCTTTGGTTAGAGGTGTTCAGGAGGGAAATACTCTGTCTGCATTTTTTAGTTTATACCGATGTATACATTTACTGGTTTTATGTTGCCCTAAAGAAAGTACAAGAAGAAAAGTCTAATCAAAGATTAAATTTAATTCTTGAATCTAGATTCCTTTAAACAGAGAAATGTAATAGAGTGAAATTAATCATTCCTGTCCTCAGTTTTGATATACAGCAAAGAAATGAGATATAGGTCCAGTGAAAGACTTTCTTTTGAAGAGATTTAAATACAAGCAAGTGCTGATAACCACTGTGGACAAAAGGACACAATATCCCTGTGTTATTTATCTGGAGAAAGTGCTTGACTGAAGCTTTCTCCTTCTTTTTTCATAGTTATTAGCTACTGTGCCTAAATCATTTTGTTACAGAATCTCACCAGTGCTGTTCTGGAACAGCTTTGGAGTTCATTTGCCCACCACCAAGAAGCATGACTTTCAGTGCAAGGGTTTGGTGAAAAAGAAAAGCGTTGTTTATTTAAACCTTGTACAGATTTAGAATAATGGCAGATTTCTGCCGTTAAGTCCTGCTTCTTTTAAAAACACCCCAAATACACAGTCTGGTTTAGTACCCCAGTCCAATCCCGTTCCTTTCATGAACACAGTTTGAAAGGCTTCTGTAAGTTGGGCAATCCCAGTACAGGAGCCGAAACTAGCTTTTGTCCTTCAGGGTATTAAATGCTACTTGACAATCCCCTGTCCATTCAAAGGGTTCAGAGTCCAGTCCTTGAAAGGAATTGTACAGTAGCTTTGCTATGAGTCCAAAGTTTGGAATCCAAATTTGGCAGAACTTTGTAATTCCTAAGAATCCATCCTATGCTAAGGACTGCCCAAAATCCATCCTTTGGCAGTCCTTAGTAATTCCTAAAAACTGTTAGGCAAAGCTGCTTTCAGTTCTCTGGGATTTTTAATGTAGCAATGGCTTGCTTTCCATCTGCTATCCAGCTCCTGGTACCCTCTTTCTGTTGAAATCCCAGGTATGCCACTTCCTTTCTGCAAATCTGGGCCTTATCAGGTGACACCTTATACCCCCTTTATGCCAAATGATTTAGGACTGTGATGGTGCTGTGCACCCCCCATAGGTGCTGCTACCTATCAATATGTCATTTACATATTATAAAAGAACTCCTGATTTCAACTGAACATTCCTTAAGTCTTTTGCCAACACTTTCTCAGACACAGTCCGGGAATCTTACATCCTTGTGACAGCACGGCCCAGCAGTGTTAGAGCATGGCTTTCGTTTCTGGGTTCTGCCATTCAAAGGTGAACAGTAGCTGAGCCTGTTCATCTATTGGGGTGCAGAAAAAGGCATCCTTCAAGTCTAGGACTGAAAACCATTTGCTATCCCCAGGCACCCTGGTCAACACGGTGTAGGGATCAGGCACTGTAGGGTGAGTGTCCTAAATGGTGTCATTTATGGCCCTAAAATTCTGTACCAACCAACATTTGTCCCAGTGAGGCTTTTTGACTGGCAAAATGGGAATGTTGTAGGGTGACTGGCATGGCCAAATCAGTCCTGATTTTAGCAACTTTTGCAACACTGACTCGATACTCTCTCAAGCCTCCTTCTTGAGTGGGTACTACTTGTTCCATGGGACTCACAGTCCCTCTTTTAGATTAACCTTTATAGGTTGCACATTAACCGCTTTACCTGGTGGTCCATCAGCCCAAACAGTTCATGCGACCTGTTCATAAATCTTAGGTGGGAAGAGTTCAACTCCAGGACCTTCTGCACAGGTCAGGAATGCCTGTAGCTGGAGGGCATGTTCAAGTGGGACTTCCACATGTAATTGCTGCTTCTCAGGAGAAAAAGTTACTTATGAATGCAGTCTGCAGAGTAAATCTCAGCCCAACAATGGAATAGGGCAATTTGGCATGAAAAGAAAACTGCGTAAACTTTTGATCCCCAAGCATTCCAGGCATTCCAGAGGTGGCAGGAATGCCTGTTTTTGTGACTCTAGTCACTCCAGGAACCATTACTGCATCTGGACTTCTCTTGGTTAATTTTGTGTTCAGCACTGAGTATGTAGCTCCCATATCTACAAGGAAATCAATTGGCTTGTTCCCTGTAGTCATCTGTGCTTGGGGCTCCCATGGGGAAATAGTGATAGGTTGGAAGATGTCCAGTGGAGTCCATGGGCCTCCTCATTCATCATCAGACTCCTCTCTCCTTTTCAGCATTTCTCAGCAAGGGATCTCATTTCTATTTTGTCATTTGAATTTTGGGCACTCATTCCTCCAGTGGCCCTGCACTGTAGTCCACTTGCAATGGGCACATTCATTGATGCCTGTTGAGCTGGTCCTCCTTCCTGTAGGGTCCTGCTGCTTCCTTTGGCCTCCCCCGCCTCCTTCTAAGAACACCGAGGCCTACTTTGTCTTCCTTGCTTCCTGGGCATTTAAACTTTAAATGCTAAACCTCCAGCTGAGAGGGACTCATTCCCAATGCCCCGTCTATACGCTGGAGTTTCTTTCTGATACCTGGGGTGCTTAGCCCAGTAAAAGTCATGCTCACCATCCACACATTCTCCAATGCCTGTGGATCGGCATCCGTGTGCTCCCTGTAGGCCTGATAGATCCTTTCTGAAAATGCAGAAGGGTCCTCATTTGGCTTTTGCTGAAGGGCCTGCATCATACTCGGGCTCTTGCTTAGGCAGCCCCTTTCTAGGCCCTTCTAGTAGTCACCTTCTGTGATGTTTCAGGAAGGCTGGGCCCCCACCAATTGGGTTCCAGTTAGGCACTGTCAAGGGAATTGCCTCAGCTGGGTTGATGGTCCCATGGGGATTCTCTTGGTGGAGATGTTGGGACTCTTCATTAGCCTTATTTATAACCAGCTGTCTCTCATCTGCAGTTAACAAGATATTTAGGAGAGCCCGTACATCTGCTCAGTTTGGATGATGAGTGGCAAAATGGAGGTGATAAGATCTGCTATTCTCTGGGGATCATGCTTATATGAGGGGTTAGAAGGCCCACAGAGGGCTGGCCTTCCTGATCTGCTCTCCCTATAGGTATTGCCTCAAAGGGAATTGGCTTGCTCTGAGTTGAGAGGCTCCCTGGCCGTATTGGGTACGCTGACGGGTCTTTAGGGGGGAGGTCTCTCCCTCGTCACACAGGGGTGAGCCATTGGCTCTGTGCTCTCTACTTCAGGGGCAGCTCGTGAAGGGGGTGGTGGCAAGAAAGCTTCTCCTGCCACCAACCCTTGGTCCCCTGGGTTCACAACATCATGAGGTTTATCTCATTCTCCTTTTCTTCCTGTGTTTTACCATCGGGGAGAGGTTTTGAGGCCACTTCCCTTCTCTGTACCATCAAGACATTCTCTGTCCCTGGCGAAACCCATTTATACAATGACATAAATGCACTAACATAACGGATTTCATCCCATTTGTCCAACTGTTGGCAATACTGTTCAGTTTCATGATGGTATAGTTGCATAATAACTCAGGGGGCCGTCTGGGGGCCGCCTTTCCCCACGCTCCAAAACATACGTAGGTCAAACAGTATTGCACTAATAATCCAGTACCTCCTTGGACGTGGGGTACTGGCAATACATACTCCCTTCCTCCAAATTCTACCTAGTGGGCCCCCCAAGGCACCAGCATAGAACTGCCCTTATTGTGCTGGCCATACATGCTGAAAGCTATAACCAGAAAAATACAGACAACCTGGGAGCAGCATATAAACAAAACTGTCATCCACAACTTTATTATTCCAAATGGCTTTCACAAGCAAATTTTCAGCCCAACAATCTCACTTCTCAGAGCCTGACCCCTTCCCAGAGCCATTTCCTTTCCACCTACCAGGCATATTTAGGCAGCTGATGCCATCAAGAAATGTGCAGAGAAATTCTCAGAGATTGGGAAACTCCACAGTCCCACTCTCCCACTCCTGAGGGGGTCGATCTGCCATGGGTAATTATCACTGTGCCTTCATAGTCGCCATTGCTGTGACAGAATCCTGCCAGTGCTATTCTGGAACAGCTGTGGGGGTTGATCGCCCACTGCCAAGAAGTGTTACTGCCAGTGCAAGAGTTTGGTGAAAAAGGAAAGGTGTTGTCGCTTATTCGAAGGTGGTAAAGATTTAGAATAATAGCAGATTTATGCCATTAAGTCCTGCTCCCTTTAAAAACACCAAAAACACATAGTCCTGCCTCATTTACAAAACCAGGCTCATTTCAGAATACGCCAGCGAGAGGTACTTTTCAGAAAAGTGGAAGTCTGTAGATCAGCATTCCCAGTCACAGTTCAGCTCCAAGAATCTCTCATGGATCCAGGTAGCTGGGCAGGTCCCCTGCAGCTCTGCCAGCTCTGCCACTGTCTCCTCCAAGCAGACTTGAACCTGGGTGGCTAGGCAGGTCTCCTCTCACCCACTGTACCACCAGCTCCGGGGACTCGCTGGACTTCTGACTTTCAGACCTCTCTTACCCCAGACCACATGACTCTTCTCTTACTTTCAGATCTCCCAGTGTCACAGGTGGGCAAAGGTAACCAGGTTCTTGGTGATGGCAGACAAAGAATTGAACCGAACACACAGTTTATGGTGGAAAGGGAGAGAGCAGATTTATTAAGCAATAGTACACCCCACAGACTATGAAAGCAGGCCAGCTCCGAGCAGAGGTTGACCTCAGGGGCTGGAGGGATTCCATTCTTAAAGGTGGATATTTCCTGGCTAGTTTTGGCAGGCTTTTATTGTGCGTGTACGAGTAGTTATATTATTTTAAGCTACTGTGCATGTGGTTGGTCTCCCATGATTTTCTTTGGCCCACTGGGGAAGGGGGTCACACAATGTTAATTTATTATCATGCTATTATAATGAAGCAGGAGTCATGTAACATCTTCTGCACAGGTGCAGTCATGATTCACCATGATTCAGCGCTTTTCCAGAAGGGGGAAAACAACCACAATGGGATCTCTGTCCTGTATCACTGCCCTTTATCTTAGCCCGGGGGCACCTCCCGAGTTTCCTCCTTTGTGACTATCTCCTGCCTCACCAGCAGACCTCCTCACTTACACTCCAAACCCCGTGGTAGACCTTTCTTCTCTTTTAGCCTACCCTTATTTAAATGCTCAGCCTAGAACTTCCTGTGTGATCTCATTTTTGGCCCTTTCTATGGTATGTTAGTGTCCACCATTTTTGCCAGTTCCCCTATATATTTTACCTTCTTTCAGCTGCCATCTTTAGTCAGGGCAAAAGTTCCCAGTGACTCTGGGACATCCAGGGTGGGCATTCGCTCCCTGCCTCTTGAGCAAGCACTGTACGAGCTCTCCTGACTATGTCAGGAGTCCCTGAGCATTTTCACAGTCACAGTCAAGTACACAGTTTGCCCTGGTTGGCAGCCCTCTTCCTTTGAGGAAGGCACAGCTGTTACCTTGCCACTGTTACGCAGTGTATCCTAACCGCCGCACCACCTGGTCTTCTACTCTAACCTTCCCCCAGGTGAGGATTGTGGGGGATGCTCTGCCCCTGTTGTAGTGTTGCTGATAGTCATAGATGGTACCTATGAGGGAATTAAAAATACTTTTTTACTAAAACTTTTTTAGCCTCCAGGCTGGTGGACCATGTCCAGAGTTTAAAAAAAAAAGTTTGTGTTTAGCCTTCTCTCACTTACAGTTAAAGGACAGGATCGGTTTATCCAGGGAGGGTAGGAAAGAAGTGGAAAATGAATACAGGAAAAGTGTTTGTTTATTTTTAAAGATTTTATTTATGTTTAGAGAGAGGAAGAGAGCGACAGAGGGAACCATCAATGTGTGGTTGCCTCTCATGCGCCCCCTGCTAGGGGACCTTGCCTACAACCCCAGCTTGTGCCCTGACTAGGAATCGAACTGGCAACCCTTTGGTTTGCAGGCTGGCACTCAGTCCACTGAGCTACCAGCCAGGCTGGAAAAATGTTTTAACCACACTTTTAGAAGACTATTTCCTTCACACAAAAATAAAAATGTTTTTCATGATTATAAGTAGGATCTAGATTTGTTATATTTGGATTTGTCTCGTGTGCTCTGGCAAATGTTGATCAGTTATTGGTGGTGTGAACTGCTGGGCAGTCAGCAGTGTAAGTCAATGCAAATTCTTGTTAGTTCACCTGGTTTGAATAATAACTGAAGAATGTAATTATGCTCTTAGTTTATGTTAAAGGACCTACTTGATTTTAAAATGAATATAGATTCTCTTTTATATAGCAATAGAAAATAATCTTCATTTTTCCCCCTCTAGATGTGAGGTAGAAAATCGGTACCAGGGAAACCCTCTCAAAGGAACATGTTATTGTAAGTGTTTTTGTAATTCTTACCTGTCTAGAAGCAACGTAGTTCAGTAAAACTTCATTACTGTCTTTAACGTTGTTTGACAATGGTAGGTGCTGTAGGAATATAGCAACAACCCATGGAATTGTCCCCTTATTTGACATGTTCACATTCTATAAATCTAATACATACATGGATACGATTTTAAATTGCTTTCTTTGTGGTTGTGGTTTATGTTAATATGTGCATAGCAGATATCGAAGAAACATACAGAGATTCACATCTCTGGTTTTCTTGTTTATGTTCTCTTGAAAACTTATTTCATTTTCTATCACCTGGTTATCATTAATTGGTTTTAGGATATAGATCCAAAAAATAATTCTTACAGTATAGTTAAAGTCATTCTCGCTGAAACTGCCTTGTGTTAACCACCTCTTTAGGAACTGATATATAAAATAAAACTCTAACGCTTATAGTGAAAGGTGAGTCTGGCAAAGTGACCAGGACCAGGTCCTTATGGGTAAATGCATTTTCTTCCAGTGGGAGAATCCACATCGTAGGCCAGGTTATGGAACCAGAGGAAAAGGAGTTAATGATTTGCATATCCACTGTAACTATATACCTGCTCTCCTGGGTTGAACAGTGTCCCTTCAGAATTCATGTCCACCTGGAACTTATCAGTGTGAAAATATTTCTTTTTTCTAGGAGAAGAGAGAAAAACTTTATAACCTTGTGTAGGGGAAAGAGTTCCAAGATACAATTCCAAAAGCACACTTCATAAAAGAAAATGTTATTTATTGGGACTTCCAAATTTAAAGCTTGTGTTTTAGAAAACAGCATTTAAAAACCCCCACAAACTAGAGAAAATGTTTGTAAAGCTTATATTTGATAAAGGGCTTATATCCAGAACATGCAATTAAAACAGAGATTTGAATACACAGTTTACCGAAGAATATATGTGAATGGCTAATAAGCTCATTGAAAAATGGGTAACATTAGACATTTGAGATCTATGTATTAAAATCCCAGTGAGATACATCCCTGGAATGACTAGAATGAAAAGCCAGTACTGTGGCTTACAAGAAGACAACCGGATTCTCGCATTTGCTTCTGCCTCTGTTACAACATCTCTTTGGTGAAAGTACATGAGAAGAGCCCAGCCTCACCAGACATATAGCCGGAAAAGGGAGTATTTTAATAACCATCTCTGGTAATTATGGATATTATCCTTTGATACCATACCAAAACCAGACAACTGGTCGTATTTTTAAGGTTAATTACCGCATGGAACATGAAACCACCTCAGTGAATTTGTTGTAGTCTTGTACATTTATAAACTATTTATTATATTGAAAAACAAAAGCCAATACCAACTGTGCTATGGAGAAATTTCATACATTTTGTGTGGAAATGTGAAATGGTATATAGTCTCATTGGAAAACCATATGGCAGTTTCTTAAACAGTTAAAAATAAAATTACCAACAACTCCCCATTTATAGCATTATATCCTTAAGCACAACCTAGCATGTAATCGGCATTCAGTTAATATTTTTAGGTAAGGTAGATTGGGGCTTTTAAGATCTCAGCCAGGGCCATGATCTAAGGAGAGTTTGGTGGGTTAACCCAAACAAAATGGTACTGTCCACAGATCTGGTTGCCTTTGAAAAACCCCCCATCCCCCAGGTACAAATGAGCCAGAAATGCTTCCTGGCCTTCGGTGTCTGGCCATTCGGTGTTTGTGAGATAATCAAGTTGTATTTCTAGAGACCTGTTGTGTTTCATTTCAGTTTTAAATACATGTGTCCTTCCTCCCGTAGACACTCTTCTTATTGACTATCAGTTCACCTTTAGCCTGTCCCAGGAGGATGACCGCTACTACACAGCCATCAATTTTGTGGCCACACCTGATGAAGTAAGATTTCATAGTCTTCTCACTTTGTTTCAAATTTATGTGAATTTTTTTGTCATTATGGTTAGCAGCACGGCCTTAGCAGCAGTCCCAGAGTGGAGCACTCTTGATGATGTTTAAAGGAATAGGGAAGAAATGTTAGAACCTGCATTTTATCTGTTTCCCACCTAAAAGGCAGGAACGGTGTTAGGATTTGCTAGTATGTGGTACACAGATACTTGGTTTGCCCATCGGCCCATTGTGCCCCCATACAGAAAAGGAGAGACGGCAAGGGCAGCTCCCCCATCAGAGGCACAGATGGCAGAGCCCACATTTAAACCAGAGGCTTAGAAGTACTCACAAGGAAGCTGTGATTGAAATCAAGGGCAGTGGTGCATGGGAGGTGGCAGAGATGACACTTCTCATATAGTAAGTTGCAGACCTCATTAGGGTGTAAAAACAGCGATGGTTTAGTTGGGTCCAACAAGTCAGCCAGCCAGAAAAAAAATCGAAACTATCAAGGCAGCTATTTGATACATGGATTTATATTTACTGCAGTTAACGATGAACCCCACCGTGCCACATGGCATTTGGGAGTGGTCGAAGGGAGCCGGCATTTAAAGGCGGGGCATCTAGAGCGTGAAGACACACCCACACGGTTTCTTCAATGAAATAGACAGTCTTTCGTTACCCACCCCAATCCATAATGAGATTTTTCTAAACTTGGTGATAAATTATTTAGGAACCTCCTTAGTTTTTCATTTCTCATCAGTGTACTTTCCATGAGAATATTTTGTGGAAAAACTCTGTAGCCATATCATTTGAGGGGCTGTGTGAAGTGGAAGTTTTAAAGAAGATTTAAGGGTAAGGTTATAGCAAAACCAGCAAACATGAAAGTTATTTACTACTTTATTCATAAGCAAGTGGTTGAAGTGCTCGGTCTTTCAGGATATAGTTGATGCTGTAAATTTTATTTTAAATAAACGTAGTAGTCTCAGTAATATTTCTTAGTGAGATCTGGAATGACCATGAAAATTTTAGAACTTCTCTGTGCTTCCCTGTTTATCTTATGACGGAATATTTAATAGAGTTATTCAGTGTGCGTGTTCTATTCTTTAAAAAAGCACTAGGATTCCAAATTTATTGATCCTTTCGGTAGAAGAAGTAATTGTTGGTAGGTAGTGTGCTGCCGGCAAATTTTAAAAAACAACACTTGAGCTGTCCTTTCAAGAGGAAAGTGAGGTTGTAGCAATAAGTGAGAAGGTATCTGCTCTGTGAGGGAGACTTCTGGTTTGGAGATTCTGCTTTGAAAATGTTTCCATTGTTGTGGTTTTTGCCTGTTAAAACCAGCAAAACAACACCCTTTAAGAATCTTAATTTTCTAATATGTTTTATGATTTTACAAAATGAAGAATATCAGCAGAGTTAGATCTGTTGTAAAACATAAAAATATAACATCTTTTTAAAAATTTTATTTTTTTAAAGATTTTATTTATTTTTAGAGGGAAAGGAAGGGAGAAAAAGTATGAGAAACATTGATGTGAAAGAGAAACATCGATCAGTTGCCTCTCGTACACACCCTGACTAGGGACTGACCCCACAACCCAGGCATGTGCCCTGACCAGGAATTGAACCAGTGACCTTTCACCTTGCAGGATGATACACAACCCACTGAGCCACACCAGGCAGGGCTACCACATTGATGTATTTGCAGAAATGATCCTTTGACCCCCAAGAAAGATTTATTTACCAAACGCCAATAGAAAGTAAAAATTAGTATTAAAATTTATCCAGCATGGCCCCCTGAACTTCTCCATTTGGCTCAACATAATTCTGAGATGTCTTTTTTTTTTTTAAGATTTTATTTATTTTTAGAGAGGAAAGGAAGGAGAGAAGGAGAGAAATATCAATGTGTGGTTGCCTCTCACGCTTCCTCTGCTGGGAACTGGCCTGCAACCCAAGCATGTGCCCTGACTGGGAATCGAACCACGATTGTGTGGTTCGCAGGCCCGCGCTCAATCCACTGAGCTATACCAGCCAGGGCTTGAGATGTTTTTTTAATCATTAGAATCAAAAGTCAAACTAGCTCCTCAAATTGCTGTATCTCTAAGTGGTAAACAAGCTTTTTAAAGCTAATGAAAGAAAGACATTTAGTTGTCTTTCACTTGAAATAATATTTTTAGTGAGAGAAAAATGTTATTCAAATCATGAACGAATACAATCACATTATTTAGTTTGTTTCAGGTTTATATGCTTTTTAAAAGTCTATTTTCATTTTGGAGAACTTTATACTGTATATAATCTATTAGTTCAGAAGTACTTAGGCTGAATTTATAAATGCCTAGAAAGTGGGTCACTTGATCAAGTGTTTTCCTGTCCAGGCATTTGGAAATAGCTGCCCAGAGGTTCCTTAGGAGGCTGTTTTTCCTAATGTAGGTCACAGGATGTAAGTCACTGTGCTGTGGTGAGGGGTTGTTTTGTTTTAAAGGTATTCTTTTCATGGAGTTGGCATTTGATAAACCATTAAATTTCATATAATTTTTTTCTAAAGATTTTTATTTATTTATCTTTAGAGGGGAAGTGAAGGAGAGAGGGAGAGAAATATCAATGTATGGTTGCCTTTCGTGCGTCCCCTGCTGGGAACTGACCTGCAGGGAACCGGCCTGCAACCCAGGCATGTGCCCTGACTGGGAATCGAACCGCAATTGTCTGGTTCACAGTCCCACGCTCAATCCACTGAGCTACACCAGCCAGGGCTTAAATTTCATATATTTGTATAGAAGAGAAATCAGATTTATTTGGGGTATATTTCTTATATTAGTTAGAAATTTTGCTCACTCTAATGTCGGTTTCTCTCAAGACATAGTAAAATACCTGCTTTGTAATTAACAAAGGTTCCCTGGCTGATGTGGCTCAGTGGATTGAGCGTGGACTTGTGAATGAAAAGGTTACCTGTTCGATTCCTGGTCAGGAATCCCTCACATGTCTGAGTTGCGGGCCAGGTCCCCACATGGGGGCATGTGAAAGTCAACCATTTGATGTCTCTGACCCCCTCTTTCGCCCTCCCTTCCCCTCTCTCCAAAAATAACATAAATCCTTTTTTAAGAAAAGGTAAAAGTAGTAAACTTTAATTACTGCTTTATTTTAAAATCTGGACACTGTTCTAATTAATTTTCTAATTATTTGTACCTCTCCTCAGCAAAACAGGGATTTGGACATGTTCATCAATGCCTCCAAAAACTTCAACCTCAATATCACCTGGGCCGCCAGCTTCTCAGGTAAAAATCCACCTAGAGAAGACCTTCTAAATGGAAGGTCTAGATTAAGAAACATGATGTAGGAGTTGAGAAAGGGGGCTCTGGAGACAGACAGATGGGTTTGAAGCCCCCCTTTGCCACTTATTAGCTGGGAGGCCTTGAGCAATTTTAAACTCCCCTCTAGATTTTAGGGTTATTCATGGTAAAGAGAATGTTGTGCAGATAAATTAGGCCCTGCACGTCAGTGCCTGCCATGGTGTCAGGCTCATTCCACGCTCCCCATCTCCGTCCCTGCTTCAGAAGTGAAAAAGGCAAGGGACTCGTAGATGCAAGCAACGGAAACAAAGTAGAATGAGATTTCAGTCGGTACAGGGAAATGTACTTGGGAATTAAATGAAACTCGGGAGCACAGCTTTTGCTCTCCTGTTCATCCTACTGCGAGTCACTGAAAATGTGCCTGGGCAGAAAATCCACTAAAAAAGTGAAGGGTGGGCCTTCCACGGTGATTAAGAACATAGCGTGACTGGCCTAGGTTTGAATTCTACCTCTTACTTACTGTACTGCGCTTTGCTATCAGGCAAAATGCTTAAGCTTTCTGACCCAGTTTGTCGTGTGAAAAGCACTTAACCATGCAGAATGTCATGGGAATGAAGTGGTGTAACAAAGTACTCAGCATAGTGCTTACAGAACGGTAAATTCTCACTAAGTGTTTCATTATTATTATTATTATACAGTTCTGGATTTTGATCAAAACACAACTCATTTGACTGAAGCAAAATAAAATCAGTACCTTTGCCTGTCACTTTATGTTTATGATGTCTTAAAAGATTGTATAGAATTCAGAAAAAATTCAGCAACTTGCAGTGAGGAGAGACTTTAAGAAAAGGTGTGCATTGTTGGAGTATTTGTCTTGAGAAAGGTCACCTTTCTGAGCATGTGCTGATCTGCAGTGACTGTCTCATTGAGGACCTGGCAGCCTGGGCTCCAGTCACAGATTTAACTCAGACTTCGAAAATACCCATTTCATGACTCTTTTACAGACACTAGAATTCCCGGCAGAGGGAGAATATGGAATGCTGAAAGACTTTTGGGGAATAGATGCATTTATACCAAACTGGGGGGACTTAACAACAGTCGTAGCTGGCAGCAGAAGGGACCAAGTGACCCTTACAGTTCTGTCCTCCCTGCTACTGCTGAGGCTTGAGGTCACTGCTAGTCAGGAAGTGAGGGGAGAATCAGCGTCCCTGGTAGAGGACATACGGAACACTGCCAGACAAGTGTACGAGGGGAAATGCAGAGCAGTCAAAGTGCAGTGTGCACAGTAGGTGCCATTGCTTGTTAGTAGGATTCTAGTGGTATCTGTAAGTTCACGGCCACGTGCAGCCCATTTCAGTGAAGGGGAGTTGCAGGGATTCCTGGTAAAACATTCTAGTTAAGGGCATGGGCTTGTGTATCAGCCTCCTTCCCAGCTTCAAATCCCAGCTCCCCTTCTTGTCAGCTGTGTGACCTGAACCAACTTGCTTAGTTTCTCTGAGCCTCACTTTCCTAATCTGTAAATGAGGATAATAGAGTTATCGTTAGGGTTAAATGCTATTGAGCTCTTAAAAGCTGATTCTGGGACATGGTGTTTAATAAATGCGATTATCCTTATTAGTAATGAGGGTAGATTCTGCCCCCCCCCCCAAAAAAAAGGCTCTTCTGTTTTATTTTTTTCTTCCTAATAGCTGGAACCCAAGCTGGAGAAGAGATGCCTGTTGTTTCGAAAACCAACATCAAGGAGTACAAAGATAGCTTCTCTAACGAGAAGTTTGATTTTCGTAACCACCCAAATATCACTTTCTTTGTTTATGTTAGTAATTTCACCTGGCCCATCAAAATTCAGGTAAGTTGTGCTTTTTGGTCTCTTCTGCAGCCATGGTGAACTCTCTTTAGAGGAGACAAATTCTCTAATTTGGAACTTGCGATAAATGAGATGCACAGTATTTCTTTGCCTCTGTAATATCTATGGCGAAGGTGGGCTGAGCGTGTGAGTAATACTCTAGGAAATTGTAGGGGGGAGGGTGTAAACCACTTGTGAAGGAAAGTTACTGGCGATTTTGAAAGCAAGTTGGCGTGTAACAAATTTGATCATTATAACTCTAACTTCTCCATTGAGCACTTGCCGTGTGAAAATTTGTACAGCTACATAATGAGCTTCAATTCTGGCATGAGTAAGGTGGGCATAAGGGAAACAAACACACATACATCCTGCAAAAGCCCGAGTGTGGAAAGTGCCGCATGAAAAGGTCCCAAAAATGCTATCAGAGTTTAAAGGAGGATGGGGTGGTATGTAATGGGAGGCAGTATGAGGTTGCATTAAGGGACCTGGGCCTTGTAGTCAGACAGATGTGGGTGTGCGTCCTGTCTCGCTCCTGTGCAGTTCGGGTTCCCTCTTCACATCTCAGGTTGTTTATGTGTGTGACCTAAGAGGGGAAGTCGGAGGATTCATGTCACCTTCTGCAGCCACTGCTGCTGTTCATTTGCTCATTTTCTCTGTTCCCAGGGGACCAGTGGAGTCCCTCTTATCCAAGACCCATGGTCCCTTTTTTGCTTTTTATCATCGTTGGCTTCTGTGTCCTTGCGGCCTTGCCTTAATTCTTTTCACTTTCACCCCCTCCGTTTTGGGTAAATGTGGAATTGAGGGATGGGTGGACTTTCAGGAACTGGTTTGCCTTGAGCCATGGAGGCCTGGCTGCTGGACGAGGGCCGTGGCTCTCTGCTACCTTTCAGAAGCGTGGTCAACTGACGCACGTTGTCACAGATCAGTTAGGATGGGGGTGCGTTCCAGTTCTGTTGGTTTCATATTCATATCTCAGAGTTGTTGCTAAGGAACAGTCTTTTCCTTTCTAGAATGTGGAGGACAGGCTTGGTGTTGTATTTCTTCTAACCACCCTCTTTTTCTTTTCCTTCCAAATGGTCTACAAGTTCATCCTCTAATCTGCTTCTCCCTTTGCTCTTGCACATAGTCTGCTTCCCTCCTCAGCCATCCTTTTACAAGCATTGACCACATTCTCTATTTCTATTTTCTCTTATTCATTCACACGTCAGCCCAAAACAGTCTGCCTCCTCCCCTCAGGACCCCCTGACACTGCCCTGTCTCAGTGACTGAATTCTCGGTACTCTCTCCTTCATAGAGGGACTTGAATCACTGTCTTTCTTGCCTTCCTGGTCTTTTCTTCCCTGATTCTCTGGCCAGTCTTTTAGGGAATCTTCTTCCTTAAATATTGGGTTGTCTGGGATTCAGGTTGGATCTCATCTGTTTTCATCCCAGTTTCTCTGGATAGTTCCATCCCATTTGTAGATACTACTTCTGTACTGGAGATTCTCGGTGCTCTGGCTCCAGCTCAGCTTATACTGGAGCTCCAGACCAGGAAGTCCTCTTGGTTGCTGTCTAGACATCTCTATCTGAACATTCACAAGCTCTCCGCACTCTGCACATAGCCATTCTGGCAACCCCAAACCCTGTGCTTCCTTTCCCAGTGAATGGCACCACCAACATTCACCCTGTTGTACAACTGGGAATCTTGGGACCCAGGAAGTCATTTGCATTCCTGGGTAAACCTGACTTGGGCATGATGTGTCATTTTCTTTCTTCAAGCATTACTGGGATGCAAAACTTACTTTAAATTTGATAATATTTGGGTTAGAACATTCTATCTATTTCATGAGTGAGAATGATCATTTTCCCTTCCTGTCCTTGTTATGGTTTTTAAATCAAGGTTAAACTAACCTTTAATAATTATAAATTGAGGAATTTTTAACTTGAGCAATCAAAGTAAAATAATTTGACTCTGGTGTTTTATATATGGGGATTTTTTTAACTGCTGATTCAATTTCTTTAATAGTTATAGGATATTTTAGATTTTGTCCTTCTGTTTGAATCATTTAGGATAATTTTTTATTTCATGTGTTTTTCAAATGTATTGACACAGAGTTTTTCACATGGTCCTTTATCTAATCTTTGTAGCATCTCTGCCTAACTATACTGAATCATATGCTTAAAAATGGCTAAAGTGGTAAATTTTGTCTTAAATATATTTTACCCCAATCAAAAATAGTTTTAAAAATCTCAAGATTTTTTGCAGATGTAAACAAGTTTATTCTAAAATTAAAAGGTAAAGATTCTAGAATACCTATAACAGTTTTTAAAAAGGAATAAAGTGGGAAGAATCACTGTATGCCGTGATAAAGCTTCTTATTTAGCCAGAGTATCCAGAGCATTGACGTTATTGGTGGGGGGCAGACAGAGGTCACATAACAGAACAGACAGGGAATAAAATGAAGAAGCCTGAACTAGATCCACGTAGACACGTCCAGCTGATTTTTGACATTGGTGCAAAGACAGTTCAGAGGAGGAAAGATAGCCTTTTCAACAAATAATACTAGAACAATTGGACAACCATAGGCAAAAAAAAAAAAGAACTTTAACCTAAACTTCACATCTTATATAAAAATTAACTCAATATGGATCACAGATTTAAATGTAAAGCAAAGCTATAAAACTTTTAGGAAAAAAATAGAAGATCTTTACATCTTAAGACTAGGCAAAGGTTTTTAGACTTGACAACAAAAACATGACCCATAAAAGGAAAAATCAATAAATTGGACTACATCAAAACAAAAAGATTTTCTTCTGTGAAAGACCTGTTAAAGGGATGAATAAAAAGTCTACATACTAGGAGAAAATATTCACAAACCATAGTTTTGACAAAGCACTTATATCTGGAATATAAGAGTAATTCTCAGAATGCAATGTTGAAAAATGCGTTGAAAAACATTTTCTAATTTATGTAGAAAATGGACAAAAGACATGAGGAAGCACTTCACCAAGGAGGATATTCATATACCAAATAACCACATGAGAAGATGTTTCGGATCAAAGCTATTAAGGAAATAAAAATTCAAACCACAATGAGATATCACTATACACCTATCAAAATGCTAAAATTGAAAATAGAAGTAATACCAAACACCAAATGCTAGAGAGGTTGCAGAGAAATTGGATCATGTTGTGCTGGTGGGGGAGGGAAACAGTACAGACACTCTGGAAAACAGTTTGGTATTTTCTTATAAAATTAAACTTGCTTTTACTGTATGACCCAGCAGTTGCATTCCTGGGCATTAATCCCAGAGAAATGAAAACTGATGTTTACACAGACACCTGTATAACAGTATTTAGCAGCTTCATTCATTGGATCCCCAAACTGGAAACAAGTCAAGTACTATTGAGCAGGTGAATGGGTAAATAAATTGTGCTAACACATGTGGTGGAATAATACTTAGCAATGAAAAGAAACAAACGCTTGATACAACAAGTTGCATAAATCCCAAGGAAATTTTGCTGAGTGAGTGAAAAATTAGAAATTGGCATTCTGTGTGATTCTAGTTCTATAATCACATCAATAAAAATTCAAACCACAATGAGATATCACTATACGCCTATCAAAATGCTAAAATTGAAAATAGAAGTAATAGAAGTAACATTTGCAAATAAAAATTTCAGAACAAAAATTGATATAATCTGAGGCTTCAGCTTTCTCTGACTTCTTCTGCCCTCTAGGCCCCCTTTAGAAAGGGGTCATCTGATTAGATCAGGCCCTCCCACACTCTGATGGAGGAGATTGTGCAGAGTGTACGTATCAACACAGTGGGAATCTTGGGGGCCAGTCAGGGATTTAGGTTATTTGTCTGACCCCAGAGGGTTGAACTCTAGGCTCCAGTCAGTGTTACTTCAGTTTGTAACATCTTCTAACACTGTCAACTATAGATCATATATATTTGTAAAATACTTGATTTACACTCTAGTAAATATTATTTATTGACTTATTTTAAGTTGAGATTGTTTTCATAATGGCATACCTGGCGATATTCTGAATCCATCTGAACTTCAGACTTTGTTGCTTATAGCTGAAAAAATTATTATTATTATTATTTTAGATTTTATCTATTTATCTTTAGAGGGGAAGGGAAGGAGAGAGGGAGAGAAATATCAATGTATGGTTGCTTCTCATGCGTCCCCTGCTGGGAACTGGCCTGCAACCCAGGCGTGTGCCCTGACTGGGAATCGAGCCTTGATCCTCTGGTTCACAGGCCCACGCTCAATCCACTGTGCTACACCAGCCAGGGCAATAATTAATATTTTTAAGATTCCTAGTGAAAATCTTGACTTAATGCTGCTGACATTTTTCCCATTTGGAAAGAGGGCTCCATGCACATAAACAGGCTTTTGTGCTGGAGATAGCCATGCGGTTGCCAATGCGGAGCTCTGGTTTTTTTCCTCCCGATGCCCTGTTGCTCCACCCTCTGAAAGTCCCTGAAATGTTTTTAGAGCATTTCCTTCTAGAGGGATCTCTTCCCCACACTTATTTTTTTTAAGTACCAATTTTAAGTTTTAAGACTCAGAGATGTCGATTTTCTGCCTGATTTTTCGGTGCCCTGTACCTGGGCTGGATCGCTCACATGAGTAAGGTCCCTTGTGAGAGCGGTATTCAGGAGCACTTCTGAAAACAAATGATGGCGTGCTCACCGTTTAGTTTGCCAAGCCTTCCTTGAAAAAGCAGGTAAGTTCTATTGAAAATGTGTCTTTTTGTTCTTTGGTGCATGCAGTGTGATGAGACCTGCAGCCCTGGGTGTTCCCAGGGTCTTCACACGCCGCTGCTCCTCTGTGTTTGGGACCGTGTCTGGGTGTGCACTGGGTGGAGGGCTGGGCTGCGCCTTCCCAGGCAGATGCAGTCTTGTTCTCAACGGCAGGAGCTGTATGTTTCCTTCTTGTTCTACTTTCCTCAGAGCTTCTCCTTTTCTAGATGTAGGTAGCTCTTCAACACACGCATGCACTCAGAGACT